GTTTAAAGTGATTTAAGGATATCATATGGAAACCCTTACCAAGACCAAGGTTGGCTAAATAAACGACATAACTTAGAAATCCAACGTTGGAGCGAAAGAAGTTGAAATTGATTGTCCCATTTGTTCCTTTCTCTCACAAACTTCATATAGATCGCTTGTACAATATATATTGCATGGTTGATGTTTGTTCTGATCATGTAAAGCCAATATATATCTACATACAATATCTATATATGTGTGTGTATATATATATATATATAATTAGGAGGAGACTGATATATCAATTAATCTTTTGAATTTGTATTGTGTATAGACTATTGGACTTTTTGGGGCAGAAGTTTCTGAAAATGCAATTGAATTCACTTATATGTCAGAAGGAACTCACTTTATAGTTAATACTTAGTGTCTCCCAACTCCCATCTTGTCTATCGTTCCTCTCTCTTACGACTACGAATAAGATTAAGGAAATCTTGCAAATGTTTTTGTCTCTAACAACATTTTTAATTCATGTTACTTAAATTATAAAATCCTTGTTCAATAATCCTTTTTCCATTAAAGTTTTCATTTTTACTAGTTGGTTTTCATCAATATTTTTTATGTCCAACAAGTCGGGTGTATACTGTTCAATGTAAATTTCACTCATATTTGGACCCTCGGTTTGTTTTTTAGTCCTTATTGCATGATTTGCATTCCTCATAATGTTTAGTAGCCATATGAATACATTCTTCACTATCTGATTATCCATCTAGAGTAGCGAAATTCAATTTAGCATAACCGAACTCAAACCATACCAAATAAAAAAACGAAACCCGAGCTGAATGTTAGCTAATGTTTTTCGTTAACTGAAATTGAATATTTATAACTAAAAATAAAATTTGCTGGAAATTTTTTAACCAAAATATTATTATAAGCCTATTTACAAGAAAAAATTCGTTCAAAGCCAGAAAATCCAAGAATTGAAATAATATTAGATTACCACATTTTCTAGCCAATCCGGATGGCTTCTTACCGTACCGGTATCAAACACAAAAGAAGAATTAGTTGAAAGAAAAGAAAATTATATCAATCTTATATCACCACAAATTTCTACTATATATCTTATATCAATCTTACCACTCTCTTTTTGTGTATTTTCAACCAAATTAACTAAATTAAGCTACCATGTATGATGTATCATAACAAAACTTGAGTAAACTGGTGATAGCCTATCAAGAAAATAAAAAATCAAGTGACGACTTAGGCACTTTAAAAATTATTTAAAACGGAAAGAACTAAATAAACACCAAATAAATCACTTGATTTCAGTTAATAGGTTAACGTTATCTTCAAGCCTAAAACAAAAAAAAAAAAGATTAAGACAATTATTTATTTATTCCTTTAACAACGAAAAAAAACAATATTAATTCGGAGTAATAATTGTTGGGCCTCTATACAACTTGGTCCACTTACAATTATTGGGCCAACTAACATGAGTCGGATAACAGTTCACTTATTCTTTCCTGGTCACGTAACTTAAACAAAGAGCTAATGAACATTACATCATTTCTAAGTTCCAACGAATTTTTAAGGATATTGTTAATCCTTTGATGCGGAAGAGTTAAATCGAAATATAGTCAGTTTAGTGACGAATTTGGCACATAATCGATTGTGAATCGACACAAAAATATCACAAACAGAAATCAACCACAAACCATCGTTCAAGTTTCCTTCCGGTTGATCTTTCAAAGCCTTAATTTCCTTTCTAAAACGTTTTCTCTATCTCTAGAATCCTTTCTTGTGTCAATGGCCACAAAGTTATTAATCATGTCTCTCTGTAATCATCTTATTATAGACAAAGGAACATGAGCCATAAAGAAACACTAATATCATAGATACATGAATGACTTAGTGTCTCTTAATGAAGTACCTTCCTAATAATACCGGTTAACTAAATCGGTTCGATATGTTGCCAAATCATGGGCCCAACTGACCATAAACCAACATATACCGTTTAATTATTACCGATCAAAGTCTTGTTGAGAAAGAACCCGAGTACCTATAACATTCAACTGTACTATCAAGTGTGAGCTAGATAGAATAACAAAAAGATAATCCACCAAAAAGTGATTGGTCAGTACAAATCGCAAGAGAATAAAAAATAAAAAATAAAAAAAAATCGCAAGTCATGAATCCGAAGATATAAAAGAAGATGGTCCTTCTTCTTATGTTCCTTATTACATACAGAGAATCATCTAAGATTCGTAAGCAAAGACATTTTTACAAGACTGGTCAAAGTCTTTGCGTGCATGTTCTTTAGCTTTGATTTTCCGCCTGAAAATCTACCACTTGTTCTTGACTCTATTCTTGATAGAACAGAATCGGTACTACTGATCTAACCGACGTAATCTGACACTTTACTCTATTTTGGTTTTGTGACAAAATATATTTTTTGAAAATATTTGTTTTTTGTGGTCCGAATCTTATACCCATTGTTCTTTACTATATAGACGAGTCTAAATTCAGTCCCTCTTTCCAAAACGATTACGGAGACAATCACATGATAATCCATAACTTTGAAAGTATTTATCATTTTACCTCTCGCGTTTAACCAAAGTTTGGAAAACCACATGGTGGTGGGCGAGTGGTTCTCGTTTGGTTGGAAGGATCGCCCTGTTGGTCTAGGCCAGGGATCGATCCTCCCCAGACGCAGTTTCGCTCTCTCACTCCTGTGGCCACCTGGGAATTTACCTGCGGACTTGCTCAGGCGCCCCAGACCACCAGTTTATCAGGGGGCCCTTAAGTGGAGGCTTAAAAAATCTCTGTGACGCGGGCTTAGGCCCAGTGGGCTAGTCAGATCACTGTGTGGTCTGGATACTGGGTTATCAAAAAAAAAAAAAAAAAAAAAAAAAAAAACCAAAGTTTGGAAGGTGAAAAATAAAAATGCATAAAACTAAATAAATGCTTAAATTTGTGATTGGTGGGACAAATGTTATAAATGGAATCGCTAGACGCTAATATATTGTGTATCGGTGTATGTACCAAGTTATAATTTATAAGAATGCATGGCTTTATGACTTACGAGGTACCCTTTTTTCTTATTTATAAAACTCCGGTTTGATTGTTATCCACTTTGATTCCATCCGAAAGATATGAATGAGCAAGCACTACGAAACAAACCACTAAAAAGAAAAGCAATACTTGTTCAAAACCCGTTAAATCAAAAATTCTAAAATTTGAAAACGATCATCCACCTACTCTGCATAAACGATCGAACTTAAATATAAATGCTTCCTATTATGTATAACAAAGCTTGTAAAAATTGCAGTAACGAATTATAGTTTAAACTATTAAAAATATCAATTTCTTACAGAAATTTAAATTTTAAAATTGTGATATCAAACAAAATAGTTTTATTTTAATTTCTCGATTTTATATTTATTACAAAGCGGATGGGGTATCCCCTAGAAATATGAAGTTTTGACAGATATCCAACTAGTTATGAAAACATAAACAGATTATAAATACGTTAATGCAAACTGAACACAACGGATTATAAATATCACCAAGAAACTAAAATCAGGCAATTTATAAATAAAATATTAAATGAATATCGATATTTACAAAATCACTTGACAAATTTCGGTATCTATTGTATCTTGAGGTTCACACTGATCTCATTTAGAGACTATTTTTTCAAGTGACTAAAATTAGTAACGATTTGCATATTCTACATAACTTGCTTTAACCAATAACCACATCTACCCAATTCCTATAAGAAGGAAACATGAAAAGTGATTAATATAACCAAAATAGTAAGGCGTAAACTTATTAAAAACGCGTCTTAATTAATTACCTGGTTTTAGGTTCCATAATGCTTGCATACTCCATCATAAAGTTTGTATATAATGCCTAATATTGGAAAACGAAAATTGCATTTCTTCTAGTTGGTTGTAGTCAGCTTAACATCTTTTTTAGTAGACATTCATCTTTACAATTACATCGACAACTAAATTTAGAAATATTCACCTACCTATAGGTATACTATATAAATGATACCCTAAGAAAGTCAAGTGACTTCTCTAGTCATGGACGGTTAAGGATATGCCTTAAATTTTGTAGGAATTTTGCATATATATTACAAAAATGCTTTTTCTATTGTTGCATGAAGTATCCAACGTCAGATTTTGGAATGGGTCTCTAAAGTTTATTTCAATTATCAGATTTTGTGAGTGAAAGTTTTCAGTAATAAAAAAATTTAGGGTATATATATATGTAATGCCTGATTGGCCGATCATCAATAGAGAATTATTATAGGCGGTGATCCGACGCATAGAAAATGGTTTCATGCGAAAAATGCAATAATAATGAAGAGAACACACATAAAATTAGGGCAGAATTGAAGGATAAACAAATGCTTATGAGTACAAAACCCCATAATCCGGCATATATATTACCAGTTTTAAAATGTCATAATTTGAAAATTTTCTTAATTAAATTGATTTTCTCAGAATGATTGGGTAAAAAATAATAAGTAAGATTGTTCCCCCAAATTTTCTCCATATAATAACTTTTTAGAATGTTAAAAAAAAAAGATTGGATGAAATTCCAATAGGTATTTCGATTAAAAAAGAAGGATAATTACTAGATTAGCCCAAAAAAGGTTTTACAACTAGAGTAGCACACAAAATTCGTAATTTTTTAGGCCAATTCAGTCATTTCTATATCTAAAATAACTTTGTAGAAAATAGAGGACTATGGAGGATGTAGAAATGTAACCAAGTACAATGGTTTTTACTTTAAGAAGATTTTAGTAATGACGCTATTATACAACGTCGTTATTTATATGTAACGCCGTTTGGTTACATTAACAGCGTTAAAATCAAGTTTATTCCATTTTAATGGCAAAAATATTGTGGCCCTAAGCCCCTAACCAGAGTAGTGTTCCCGTTTAGTAGCGGCGTCATTTGACGACGACGTTAACGTTCGTTAGGCAGTATAAATAACGATGACGGTTATGCACTCTCTGTCACTCTTTTGTTTGCACGTAGAGAAAAAGTGAGTGAGAAACTTTCAGAACCCTAAAAGAAGCTGCTACAATGGCGGCGTCGTCATCTCAGAAATTGGCTTGCCTTTGCTTCGGTGTGCTTCTCATCTTCGTCGTCTGTGTTGACACAACGACGAATCTTCGGAACAACGAAATCTCTCTATCAAGGTACCTAAATATCTATGCTCTTGTCTCGAGTTCACATTAAAGCTACATTTTTCCATGTTTCCTCTGTTTTTTAAACATTATCATGTTTGGTTTGAAAATGTGAACACTTCACTTAAACAAAAAATTTATGTACGTAACTGTTAAATTTCAGATGATTTTTCCGATTTTTTTTGTAACGTATGTTTCTTTTATGCGAATTTTAGAATTAGTCTCGGCTATTAACTGGATTTAAGCTACGGATTCTGTACTAACTTGTTTTTTTTTTCTCGGAAACTTTTTATTTCTTTCTTTCTAGGAAGCTGAAAACAGAGGATTCACAGAGCTTTAACAGTTCCACAATGTCGACTAGGTAACAGAGAATCACACCATCTTTTAGCCGTCGATTCCAAACGTCAGATGCATTTTTAACCGTTGGATTAACCGAAATTTACCCCCATTATCGATTTTTCAAACATGTCTAAATTATTAATCCCAAAAATAGTATCATGACAATTTATTCATAAGAAAGAAAAAAGAATCCAACGGTTGAGATCTAGATGCCTCGGATCCATTTTTTTTTTTTTTTTTGGTAAGTCGGATCCATATTTTTATTAACAACGAAAAAGGTTATGTAAGTTAGTAAATGTGAGTTATTATTTGCTTGTGAAAATGATTTTAAAGAAGTTTAATTAGTTTGTTTTCTTATGTTGTGTTTGGTAATGAATTTGTGGTTGGTTGCGTCATTCAGGCTTGATGGTGTAGTAGAGTTGAATGAACACGCAGTTACTGATCCAGACAAAGTTGCCCATGAGGTCTCTAAGCTTATTCACATGTGAGTTTTTATGTTTCTCTCCCTACAACGCAAATGCTATGTGAATGCATTTATTTCTATTCCTTTGGAATGTTTGTTTCTTTCCTAAATTAGAAATTCTTCTGCACTAGTCGTAACGTCTTTTATGAGAAAGGGAAATATACAATCTTAGTAAAATTTTGACTAAGAAATTTTCAAACTTCGATTGGTTGGAGTCATTCATGAATGAGAGTTAGTGATGTTATTGGTCGTGTGCGATAGGGACTTTGTGGAGAAACCAATACAAATTTGTCTGCTCATTTATCTACTTTTTTCATGAGATATATAAAGAAATAAACATTTTGCCAACCTTTTAAATTACAGGAGTGAACAAAACATCACTGCAAGGAGGAAGCTTGGATTCTTTTCTTGTGGAAATGGCAATCTAATAGATGATTGTTGGCGTTGCGACCGCAACTGGAACAAGAACCGTAAACACCTCGCGGATTGTGGGATGGGTTTTGGAAGTAAAGCTAATGGTGGTCGTAATGGAAGTTACTATGTGGTCACTGACCCGAGTGATGAGGACGTTGTGAATCCAAAGCCAGGAACTTTACGTCATGCCGTGATCCAGGTTGAGCCATTATGGATCATCTTTAAAAGAGACATGGTGATAAAGTTGAAACAAGAACTGATCATGAACAGTTTCAAGACCATTGATGCTCGTGGTGCTAACGTCCATATTGCTAATGGTGCTTGCATAACAATCCAGTTTATAACCAATGTTATAATTCATGGCTTGCACATTCACGATTGCAAGAGAACGGGGAATGTAACTGTAAGAAGCTCGCCAAGTCACGCCGGGTTTAGGGGAACGGCTGATGGTGATGCTATTAATATATTTGGGTCAAGTCATATTTGGATCGACCACAACTCTCTCTCTCACTGTACTGATGGTCTTGTTGATGTTATCATGGGGTCTACTGCCATTACCATTTCCAATAACCATTTCACTCACCACGATGAGGTCAATCAAACAGCTAAAGTCTTCTCCTTTATTTTTGTAAAACTGTTTTTCTTGATCATGAAATTGCGTGAGCAGGTGATGTTGCTAGGGCACAAGGACTCGTACACACAAGACAAGCTGATGCAAGTGACAGTTGCGTACAACCATTTTGGAGAGGGGCTTATACAGAGAATGCCAAGGTACATCTACAATGTCACTCACATTGTGTTTAATTAGGCTTATTACTTGCAACACAAGTTAAGAAAGACATTTGAGTGTTTCTATGTAGGTGCAGGCATGGTTATTTCCATGTGGTTAACAACGATTACACACACTGGAAAATGTATGCTGTTGGAGGAAGTGCAAACCCAACTATAAACAGTCAAGGCAATAGATATGCTGCTCCCAATAATCGCTCCGCCAAGGAGGTTCGATTCTTCCGTGTTTTTGTTTGCTTATAAACAGAAAATGGATCTTTTATACCAAAATATGAAACTGGGCAGGTGACAAAAAGATTACACACAAAAGGAAATGAGTGGATGAAGTGGAATTGGAGATCAGAAAAAGACCTTCTAGTGAATGGAGCTTATTTTACACCATCAGGGGAAGGAGCATCAGCAGACTATGCACAAACTTTAAGCTTACCGGCTAAATCAGCCTCAATGGTGGACTCAATCACTGCTAGTGCAGGTGCACTTGGTTGTCGCAGAGGCAAACCTTGCTACTAGTAAAACATCACTCTCTCAAAGCATTAGTAGTTTCAGTATACAAAAAAAAACCTAACCCCTTTCACACGTATTAGCAAGTGTGCAAAGCTTTTTTTTTTTCTTTGAATGGTAGAGAGTTTGGTCAACCTCGGCTTGACAATATATGAGCAAGCACAAGAAGCGTTGATCCATTCTCCAATCCTCTGTGTTTTTTCCTTTTGGTTAGTTATTTGTAGGAAAAAAAATACATTTGCTAATGAATTTAAGACAGTTGATTGCTTGTGATGTTTGCAGCTAAAGATAGTAGATGATTTGTTTTGTTCTTCTATGTTCTGTTCCATGTGTTTTTTTGCAATTGATTTGGATGAGACGTGAGATTACTTGGTAAACTAGTGGGCCTAGATCCAGTTAAGATAGGCCCATCAGTAGCCCATTATGTTTCCTCTTATTTTTTTTTTTTTTTTTCCCGTCAAACACCATTTTATGTTTCCTCTTAAACTTAGGGGCCTATGAGAATATCTAATCTTATTCCCTCTTAAAATAAGCCGAATCCTAAGTTTGATTGACTCCTTCAAAAGTTAATTAGTACGTGTTGTTTTTCAAAATACTAAAAACAATTGTATAATCTTAAACAGAAAGTTAAGTATAATCTTTAATTAACTTAAATATTTAAATTGAGGGAGTAAGTAAGTGGTAATGTTAAAAAGAAAAAGAACATTTTGGGAAAATAAACAAAAACATGGAGAGATTCGCACAAGGAGAGACTCTCGAGGCAAAGACCCTTGAAACAAGGCAACACTTCTTATTTCTTTATTTCTAAAACTGCGCCGTTTAAGACTCTTATGGTCTTTTTCTCCTTTATTTCTTTTGTTTACTTGTAATAATGGCTCATGGTGCGCTAATTATTTTATGCACTTTGCTTAATTTATTTAATCTTTTCAAAAGTATAGTAGAAAATATATTTCAATGTCTGTCATGTGCCGGTAAATAAAAATTCTAGTTCACACTTCGCATACATACTTACTAATTTATGTATCTTTTTGGAAAATAAATACAACTAAACAAGAACAAAATTATGACCAAATTTTTTGAAAAAATGCTAATAAGTAACAAGAGAATAAAAAATACAGTTTGGGATTTACTTTTAATCAAATTGGAGTAAAGAAAAAGAGATTAAAGTAAAATACAAAGGTAAGAATCATGAGTGGAGAATTAGGGTAGGTGAGAATGAGTGAGGCTCGGTGTGGTCACGTGAGGTATCCTCAAAATCAGGGATTGTTGTTTTGTCCTCTACACTCCCTATACCTAAACCCACTCATCCTTTGCTTAACTTATTTCTTAATATGATTTTAGTAAGTTTTCTATCATGACTCTTTCTTTTTGCATACGTTTTTTGGTCAACATTTTATATCTATAAAAAGCTTTAAAATCTGCTATTGGTATTTATTTAAAATATATGAATAGAAATTTGACAACAAGTCAAGCTACATCTTAAAATATTTTTGAAAAAATAGGTGATAGAAACTCGGAAATGAAACATCATTAACACGAGATTATTTTAATGATTTTATTTCTCATATTGTATTTGTATGCGTAGTTTCAGGATCAATTAGATAGATAACCAATAGAAATGAAAAAAAAAATATGAAAATTCATTGGATCTAGCAAAGGGTTCAAGTCTAGTCATCCTATTTCAAAGGATTCTTAATGTGTGTAGTAAGAGAGCAATACAGTATTTTCTATATTTTTTCTTTCTTAAGATTACATTTCGGTTCAAAGTTTTATATTCTATTTGTTTTACTTAAAGTCAAGAAGATAACAACTATAGAAAGAAACAGTAAGCTACAGAGCTACTAGAGCATTACTTAACTTATCCAATAAAATATACTCAAGTAAAAACAAAGGGAATAAAAATGAATCACCGAATTAACCACTTGCTTGGGGTTTGAGCAAACGCACTCGTTTACTGTAAGTGGATTAAGCTATAAATAATTTCTTTAAAACAATCTCAACTCCAACAGTAACATAAATAAAAATACTTATACCCATAATAAGGCCATAAATATACCTAAGCATATCAGACGGCTAATGAGTTCAGTAAATACAAAATTGTTGGAATCTCGATGAAAGTACTACTAGTTAATTTTGTAAACTAAGATGTTATAAGTATATAAGTAGATAAAACATTCTATCTCGAAGTAATATTTATATACACTTTTCAAATAATTAGGCGTAATTTGGCTTGTTTTAGTTTTACTTCATCTTAGTCATAAGAGATAAAACTAAACTTATGTAATTTTTACTTTACATCAACCACATGATTAGATCGATCGAAAACTAGAAATATTCGAAAAAGTGGAAGTAAAATAAGATATAAGTATTTACGTTACACAATTCACCTAAACTATAAGTTACAATGCACATACCCAACAATAAGCAGATGTATTCATAGATAACTATGTTCTATAGACTATAATCCTAGCTATTTGATAATCTTTTTTTTTTGTATGGAATTTTGTATATATCCTCAAAATCATAACTTGTGGTTCTTTTGTATGCATTTATCATATTTCGTCTACAAATTTTCATAAATATTTTTTGTTTTTTTTTTTCTGAAGCAATGGTATTTCCATATATAGGATACAAAATATATGTGTTGCTCAGGTCATCTTTTAAAATGTAAATAAATTTTTATAAAACCTATATAGATTAGAAATTATATATAGTAAAAAATAGAATATATCTCCATATTGAAGAGCAGCATTTTTTAATCCAAATTTTTTTTGTTACCTTTACAAATTCTTTACAAAATATATTAGGCTATTTTACTTGATCTCACTTTTAAACATCTTACTTAAGACTATCGTTTAGTTAGATATGTTTCTACTCTCCACGCAATGTATATGTATAATAATACTGTAAGAAATTAATACTTTTTGTATTCGTATAACAATAGTACTAAAATATTAGTAAAGAAGAGATAGGGCATAATAGGTGAGGTGGCAAAGAGGTGGGATGGTGCAGTTTTGTTGATCTCAAGGCATTGTGTTTCCCTATTTTCCTTTGTACTCTTTCTCCTCTCTTAAATCGCCACTCCATTATTTTAACTTTCTTTATCTTTTCTCTCTTAAGGATATTTGATACAACACATACAAGTATTAGAACAACTTAAACCCTCTTATGCTCTCTTCCTAAGCTTGAGTTTAATTCAAGCAAGAAACAGATTTCGAGAGAAGAGTAAGCACAGAGATAGAGAGAAAGAAGGCACCAAACCCTAAATGGGTCTAAACCCAAGATTTTAAACTTCTTTTCGTATTTTGAGGCAAATGTCTCTTCATTCCTTAATCTTCTCTTCTTCTCCTTCTTCTTCATTTCTCTTCTCTTTCTTCTTCTTCTTCTTTTGTTTCTCTCTCTCTGATGCAGAGCAAAACCCGGAAGCTTCTATCCTCTACTCATGGCTTCACTCTTCTTCTCCTTCACCTTCTTCTCTCTCTCTCTTAAACTGGAACTCTATAGACAACACTCCTTGCAACAACTGGACTTTTATTACATGTTCTCCTCAAGGTTTCGTCACCGACATCGACATTGAATCTGTTCCTCTTCAGCTCTCTTTACCGAAGAATCTCCCGGTGTTTCGTTCTCTCCAGAAACTCACCATCTCCGGTGCTAATCTCACTGGAACTTTACCGGAGAGTCTCGGTGACTGCCTCGGTCTCACGGTTCTTGATCTTAGCTCCAACGGTTTAGTTGGTGACATTCCTTGGAGTTTAAGTAAGCTTCGTAACCTAGAAACCCTAATCCTCAACTCTAACCAACTCACCGGAAAAATCCCACCAGACATCAGCAAATGTTTGAAACTCAAGAGCTTAATTCTCTTCGACAATCTTCTCACCGGACCTATCCCGCTGGAGCTAGGGAAGCTCTCTGGCCTCGAAGTGATAAGAATCGGAGGAAACAAAGAAATCTCCGGCCAAATCCCACCGGAGATCGGAGATTGTTCCAATCTAACAGTTCTTGGTTTAGCCGAAACAAGCGTCTCCGGAAACTTGCCTTCTTCTTTAGGTAAGCTCAAGAAGCTACAAACACTCTCAATATACACAACAATGATAAGTGGAGAGATTCCTTCAGATTTAGGGAATTGCTCTGAGCTTGTTGATCTCTTCTTGTACGAGAATAGCTTGTCTGGTTCAATCCCTCGAGAAATCGGAAAGCTTTCGAAACTCGAACAGCTGTTTCTATGGCAGAACAGTCTCGTTGGTGGTATCCCTGAAGAAATAGGAAACTGCAGCAATCTCAAAATGATAGATTTGTCTTTAAATCTCCTCTCTGGTTCCATTCCAATCTCCATTGGTCGTTTGTCTTTTCTTGAAGAGTTTATGATCAGTGACAACAAATTCTCCGGTTCAATACCAACAACAATCTCGAATTGTTCGAGTCTTGTCCAGTTACAGCTCGATAAGAATCAGATTTCAGGTCTAATACCGTCCGAGCTTGGAACACTCACAAAGCTTACTCTGTTCTTTGCTTGGTCTAATCAGCTAGAAGGAAGTATACCTCCTGGTTTAGCAGACTGTACTGATCTCCAAGCATTGGATTTGTCGCGTAATTCGCTAACCGGAACAATCCCTTCCGGTTTGTTTATGCTAAGGAACCTCACAAAGCTTCTCTTGATCTCAAACTCTCTGTCTGGTTTTATACCTCAAGAGATTGGTAATTGCAGCTCTTTGGTGAGATTGAGGTTAGGTTTCAACAGGATCACAGGAGAGATTCCTTCGGGTATTGGTTCGCTTAAGAAGCTAAACTTTCTCGATTTTTCGAGTAATAGGCTACATGGAAAGGTTCCTGATGAGATTGGAAGCTGCTCGGAGTTACAGATGATTGATCTCAGTAATAACTCTCTTGAAGGTTCTTTGCCTAATCCGGTTTCTTCTCTCTCCGGTTTACAAGTTCTTGATGTTTCGGCTAACCAGTTTACAGGCCAGATTCCAGCGAGTTTGGGACGGCTTGTGTCGCTGAACAAACTAATCTTGAGCAAGAATTTGTTCTCCGGATCAATACCTACTTCTCTAGGGATGTGTTCAGGGCTTCAGCTTCTTGATCTCGGAAGCAACGAGCTCTCTGGTGAGATTCCTTCAGAGCTTGGAGATATCGAGAATCTTGAAATCGCGTTAAACTTGAGTAGCAATAGACTCACAGGCAAGATTCCTTCAAAGATTGCGTCTCTCAACAAGCTCTCGATTCTTGATCTCTCCCACAACATGCTTGAAGGAGATCTTGCTCCACTCGCCAATATCGAGAATCTCGTCTCTCTTAACATCTCTTACAATAGCTTCTCTGGTTATCTTCCAGACAACAAGCTTTTCAGACAATTACCTCTTCAAGATCTTGAAGGAAACAAAAAACTCTGCTCTTCTTCAACTCAAGATTCTTGCTTTCTCACCTATGGGAAGGGTAATGGACTTGAAGATGATGGTGATTCTTCTCGTACAAGAAAGCTTAGGTTAGCACTCGCCCTTTTGATCACCTTGACGGTTGTGTTGATGATTCTTGGTGCGGTTGCGGTTATTCGAGCCAGAAGGAACATCGAAAATGATAGGGATTCTGAGCTTGGAGAAACATATAAATGGCAGTTCACACCGTTTCAGAAGCTGAATTTCTCGGTAGATCAAATCATAAGATGTTTAGTTGAACCAAATGTGATTGGTAAAGGATGTTCAGGCGTAGTTTACCGTGCTGATGTAGACAATGGCGAGGTTATAGCCGTGAAGAAGCTTTGGCCAGCGATGGTTAATGGTGGTCACGATGAGAAGACCAAAAACGTGAGAGATTCGTTTTCAGCAGAAGTTAAGACACTTGGGACGATTAGACACAAGAATATAGTTCGGTTTCTCGGATGTTGTTGGAATCGAAACACAAGGCTTTTGATGTATGATTACATGCCTAATGGGAGCTTAGGGAGTTTGCTTCACGAGAGACGAGGATCTTCGCTTGATTGGGATCTTAGATACAGAATCTTGCTCGGTGCAGCTCAAGGTTTAGCTTATTTACACCATGATTGCCTCCCACCCATTGTTCACCGCGATATCAAAGCCAACAACATCTTGATCGGTCTAGATTTCGAGCCTTACATTGCGGATTTCGGTTTAGCAAAGCTTGTTGATGAAGGTGATATCGGCCGGTGTTCTAATACCGTCGCTGGATCTTATGGTTACATTGCTCCAGGTATGTTCCTACATTTATCTTGTTAAGCATAAGCAATCAAAGCGGTTTATTTAAGGCTAATGCAAACATTTGCTAATGTTAGGTTCACAATCATGAAAATTGTTAGTTAAGACTAGTCATGTAGTTAGATGTTTTCTTACGTTTTGGTTTTTATTTTGCGTTTCCATATACATAAACCGGACCGGTTCTGTGTTTTTGCAGAGTATGGTTATAGCATGAAGATTACAGAGAAGAGTGATGTTTATAGCTACGGTGTGGTTGTTCTTGAAGTGTTGACTGGGAAACAACCTATAGATCCAACGGTACCAGAAGGGCTTCACTTAGTGGATTGGGTGAGGCAGAATAGAGGTAGCCTCGAAGTTCTTGATTCGACATTGAGATCAAGAACCGAGGCTGAAGCTGATGAGATGATGCAAGTGTTGGGAACTGCTTTGCTGTGTGTGAACTCGTCTCCAGACGAGAGACCTACCATGAAAGACGTTGCGGCTATGCTCAAAGAGATCAAGCAAGAACGTGAGGAGTACGCGAAAGTTGACTTGCTTCTCAAGAAATCTCCTCCGCCAACAACAACAATGCAAGAGGAAAGTCGTAAGAATGAGATGTCGATGATTCCGGCGGCTGCGGCTTCGTCTTCTAAAGAGATGAGACGAGAAGAAAGATTAGTGAAGAGTAACAACACGAGTTTCTCTGCTTCTTCTCTGCTTTACTCTTCTTCTTCTTCAATCGAGTGATTTTAAGGTTTGAAGGTTACGTGAGAAGAAAGCTTTTGTGTGTTGTTTGAGAAATGGGCTTTTCTTTTCATTTTTTTATTTACCATTTTAAATCTTTAGATTGTGATGTAAAAAAAGAAGACGAATAGAACGAGAGAAGGTGAGTCAGTAATGTTGTGGAATTGTGATTAGCAAAGAGTGACATGAAATTGTACCTTTTTGGGCGGTTTGAAATCAATAATTTCTCTAGTTTTCTCTCCAAAGTGCGACTTAAGATTGAATCTAGTTCTTTATAGTTTTCACTCATAAACACATACCTTCCAAAAACATATTAATATTGATGCATAAAACAATTCTGCAAAAATGATATTTCATGAGACTCTTTAATCAGTAGGCCATATTATTGGAACATTTGTTAGGTTACATACTTACATGCAACATTATATTGCACACTAAGTGTGTTTGTATCTATTTTCTTCATATAATTTATGTTTTCTTTCTTCGTGTGGCCAATTTTGCCACAATGAAAAAAGCATGTATTTGACACTTTTTGCATTTTTTTAACCTTGAACCTTTGATAAATTTTTTATCTTACTATAATTGTTGACACCACCAAATACATTTTTGAGAGCTAGAGCTGGTAAATACGTTAGCTCTGTTTCCATTCATTATAATTTCTCTACAAAAGAATTGAAGATTCTTTCCCTCAATGAGACCATAATAAATTTACTCTTTTCTTTTTCACTTGAAACGGCCCAACCACCGTTTGTCTTGGAAGAAGATAGATTGAAAATTTGGTAGTGAAAAAAGTAAAAAGTCAATAAAGGTGAAGCAAAAACTATATTTGTAAATGTTTATCGAATATAGCATTGACAATTGGCTATAGACTTCTGAAAGTACTGTTTCATGTCATTGGCTCAGTCTCTGCTATTTAAACAGAGCGTTTTGGAAATTGGCTTAACTTTAATTAGAGTGATAAACGTTGAAGTCAAACGTATTAAAGTGATTTGTTTCAACGTATCAAAAAAATAAAAAATCGTTTTGTACTCTAGTGCATACAATGCTCCCTATACATAAACCAGTACATTTCCCATAAAAGAGGACTGTCATGACCAATGATCATTGTGGACAAGACATTAACACTTTCTTGATCTTTAATTAAGTCTAAGTCCAATTCATTATCTTCAACTGTAATCTGTATTTTTCCTTCTATATAATCCATTCCATGCATGCATGCATTCAAATCATAACAGAACATCTCAACTTTGAACTCTTTGAAATTTCTAAAGAATCGATAGTGCTAAACAAAATGGCAATGAGGTTCTCATCAGTCTCCAAAATTGTGCTTCTCTTTGCAGCTACGTTGCTTTTGGTCCACGCAAGTGCTCGCACTTTGCAGCAAACACAGAATTTGCCTCTCCATGGAGGAGCTACTGCTACTACCAAAGCTGAGTCTCCTATGGTCAATGCCCCTCTTGAGGACCAGAAGAATTTCATCTACGGGGGTGGAATTGGTGGTGTTGCCGGAGTTGGTGGATTCATGGGGATGCCAGGTGGTGGCTCTGGCATGACACTGCCACTCCCGAGTGGGACGCCGCTTCTTGGTGGGGCTGGTGGGCTTGGTGGTTTGGGTGGTGCAATGGGGTTCCCTGGTGGACTCGGTGGTGGACCTAGCGGTGGTGGTGTTCCAAGCTCAAGCGGTGGTTCTCCTTAAAAAAGATCATGATTATTGGTCCCTCTGTAGCTTCAAGATGTTTAGGAAGTAACGTTTCGTTTCCTTGTGTTTTAGTTTGAAATCCTTGATGTCGTTTCTGTGTTTCTCTTCTCGTCTTTTGGTTGTCTTTTTCGTCATCAGTTTATGGTTTGATGTTGTGTTTGTGGTTCCTTGTTCGTGATTTCTTTAATTAATAAAATTCGTTTTTGTTTGAATATTGTGGTATGTTTTATATAGAACTTTGGCATAATTTAGAAGTTGCAAACTAAAGTGAGATATCACAAAGAACTTTAGTCAAATATTGTGTTGTAAGACATCAAACATATGCATATAAGAAAGAATTAGCACAGCTCAACAAAAGGATCTTCTGATTCTTGTTGCTTAATCTTTAAGGTCTTATGCTGATACTAGTTCAAAGGCATCTGCTTCTTAGAGAGATTTCATATCAAACCTCACATCTACATCAGAGCTATTACATGGCACAAACATTAGTCATATACTCAATGCCATAAACATGTTACACACAAGGCACTAACCATCAGTTTTATATTCTTTATGTCTTGTAGTTACTTCATAAAACTCCTCAACTTCAAAACATGAATTGCTTGAGAAATATAAAATTCCAGAGGGTTTGGATCAACAATACTATTGAGTGTTCTGGTCTATTATACTACTGTAACACTGAAGTCTCAAAATAAAGATTTTGATTGAAAACTTTCTCATGTTTGTGTCAAGATCTGCCTTCCTATATTTACAAAACCTTCTAAGGTCTATAGTTTCAGAAAAATATAAAACCAAAACGAAATCAACCTGTATATAAATTACATCCTAAAACCTGATTTAGATTTTCTTCACTTTTTCCTGTTGCCTTGTGCAGAGGAATCTCTTTGCTTTGCAGAGTTTTCTTCAATCAATTTCTTCCATACAGGTTTCAATCTTTCTCTTGCAGCCGTGAGATCTCGCAGTTTCTGATTCAACCGCTTTAAGATCACAGGTAAAGCTCTTTGGTGATCTTCTGTCACTATTTCAAACATATCTCCACCATATAACATTTCCACACATCTGTAGAACTTCCCTCCAAGATCTTCCAGTTCCATCTCTCCCCTCATAACTTTCTCCGCACTATCCACTGCACTTCTCAAAGCTTCCATCAACATATCTACCTCGTACATATGATCTTCGCATTTTTTCATTTCTTCTTCGATAAAGGTTAGTTTCTTATCTTCAAACTTGACATATCTCTTCACCAAAACACACTTGTTATTCAGTACCGTGTTAGAGACCGGCCACTGTTCTTCCTCGAGGAGAGGCTTATTGTTAGGTGTTACTTGTTCTAAACGCTTAGACGTTATACGTTTCTTCAGAGGTCTCTTGATTGTACCGTCCAAGTTCTCATCTACTTGAACTTTAACCTCACGATCGGCTTCAGTTCTTGATTCACCATGAATAGGATCTTCTTCTGTCGGGTTCTCATCTTGAATCTTGGGATGATCACCATCTCTAATCTCACCTTCTTCAAGATCTTCATCGTCTTCTTTATCATTGGAGGTGACTTGTTTGAAGCGTTGATAAAGATCCTCGTGTTTCTCGAACAAAAGTTGAAGAGAAGTATCGAGTTCGGTTTCTCCGATTCTGTTAAACCTAAAGTCTTGAATCAGAGAAGTGAACGTTCTCATTTCCCATGGATTTAGTTGCTCACTGATGTTCATGAATAACTCATCCACGTAAGTCGTCATCGCTTCTCAATTCGTCTTCAATCTTTGGCTCAATCTTTATTTTTGTTTCTTGTTGTTCACGCAAAAAGTCTCAACTTCTTATGATATATATACGAGAAGGCGGGTTTCTTGTTTCTAAACAGAAAAGGAATAATTTGAGATGTTTTCTTTTAACTATTTAAACTGCAATTTTGGCCAATTAGCTTGAAATGCATGGAAAATTGAAAATTTAGGAAAATAACATCCAAAAACGGAGGCGTTATTGCATCTTCGGCGACACGAGGAAGCATACAGCGTGTACCAGAAAGGAACAAAACGCTTCGAGATTGATAGTTTCATAAAGATTTTTGGTCTTTCCCTCACTTCTTACCTCTTAATGGTCGGAGCTCAGGTCTACATTGGAGTAGGAAGGTCAGTATAGTAAAACAGCATGACGTACAATCAAGTGTGTAAACGTATTCTTTGTTTTCTCTCGAGAACAAAGAAACTTAAACAATGTAAGAGATAGAGAGAAAGAGAACGAAACCGAAGAGTTATTAATTAGGAAAGTCAATATCACTTAGTAAAATAATTAGGAAAATCAATCAAAATCTACAAAGTTTAGCCTAGTACTGTTGTTCTTCAGTTAGCTAAACAAAAACCAACACCAACACCAAAACCAAATTAACCTACTGAAATTGCATTCTAAAACCAGATTCAGATTGTTGTTTTCTTCACTTCAGATTCTTGTGCAATGGTATATATCTTGTATTAACACTACTCCTAAGTGTTTGTCTATTATAATAGTGTAACAGCAAGATAGAGATTTTTGGTTGAAAACTTTGACATGTTTATATTAGTATCTGCCTTTTCTGTATTTACAAAATTAAACTTTCTTGGTTCTATAGTTTCTAAATTTCTTACAAACATATAAACATGCACAAAATCAAAAAGAAACTAGCATGTTCTCACTTACATTCTAAAATCTGATTCAGATGTTGTTTTTCTTCACCTTTTCCTGTTGCCTACTGGCCTAGTGCAGAGCTTTCCCAAGCAACCGTGAACTAATTAAGATCACATGTAATTATGTAAAGCCCTTTGGTGATCTTCAAACATATAACTATTCGAACACGTAAACTTTTCTTACCAGTTCAATTTTTCTTGCATGTCTAGTTTTGTTTTATAAATATAGAAAAATATTTTTCAATTTAATTTTACTATAGTCAATTTAGGAAAGTCAATATATATCACTTAGTAAATTGATTAAGAAAATCATTTAAAATCTACAAAGTTTATCCTAAAAGACTGTTGTTCTGAAGTTACCTAAACAAAAACCAACACCAAATTAACCTATTGAAATTACATTCTAAAACCAGATTCAGATTTTTGTTTTCTTCACTTCAGAGTCTTGTGCAATGGACTCACTTTGCTTTCTAGAAAGTTTTTCAATAGTTTGCTTCCAGACAGGTATCAAGCTTTCTCTTAGAGCCGTGACCTCACGCAGTTTCTGATTCAACCGGTTTAAGATCACAGGGAAAGCTCTTTGGTGATTTTCTGTCACTATTTCAAACATATCTCCACCATACATCATTTCCACACATCTGTAGAACTTTGGTCCAAGATCTTCCAATACCATCTCTCCCCTCATAACATCCTCCGCATTCTCCACTGCAGTTCTTAGATATCCGATCAACACATCTGCCTCGAACATCTGATCTTCGCATTTGTATCTATCTTCTTCGATATCGGTTAGATTCTTACATCCCTGGAAATTATATCTTTTCACAGCACAAGTGTTGTTTAGTACCGAAGATGAGACCGGTTTCTGTTTTGCCTTGGGGATTGGCTTATAGTTAGGTGTCAACAGTTCAGACGTTCTCCTTTTCTTCAGAGGTCTCTCAGGTTGGTTCGACTCCTTTGGAGGCAACATTCTTCTCTTCCTCTTTCCCTCCAAATTGATCTTATCCAACTCTGTTTCTTGCGGGTTCTCATCTACTTTAACCCTAGTTAGGGTTTCTCCAGCCTCATCTTCTTTATCACCGTAGGGAATTTCCACGAAGCGTTGATAAAGATTCTTGTATTTCTCGACCAAACGTAGAAGAGACGTAACGAATTCGCTATAAGCGATTTTATGAGACCTAAAGTCTCTACACAAGTTAGTGTAAACTCTCAATTCCGACCGAGTTAGTCTCTTCTCGATAACCTTCAATAACTCAGTCAACTTCTGTTTCGCTTCTAAATGGCTTTTCTTCTTTCTCTCCACATCTTCTTTAGGGTTATCAATTTGTTTAACCCTAATCTTTATACGGGGTAAAACTTTTGGATCATTAAGAATAGGGTTTTCTTCTGGCTTCTCATCATCAATCTTTCGAGCAAGAAGATTGTCTTTTAGCCTTGTAAGATCTCTAGTGAGTTCTGTATTTCCGAGTATACCGAAGTTAAACTCTTGTGTCAAGGATCTTAACCTTATCTGTTCCCATGGAGACAGTGTCTTCATACCGATCGTCTTTATCATCTCATCATGAGTGTCTGCCATATCTTCTGAATCTCGATAGCTTGAGGGTAACGAAAGTTGAATTCTGAAAATTTCTGTTTAACGAAAGCTTTCAGAGGATCAGAAACTAGAGAGTTTTGTGTTTTCTAAAGCAAAAGGTGAGAGATAACAAATGACCTAGGGTTAGATTATATATAGGCTTAAGCAAGTCATAGACTTTACAGGAGTACTAAGCAAAATTGAAAAAAAAAAAAAAAGGAAACTATAATAAAACCTAATTAAACGACGTAATTAAGAAAAAATTAAAAATAAACCGCCTTCTACCTTTCTCTCTATCTTTTGTTATTTCCTTTTTTTTTTTTTTTTTTCTTTTTTGGTGGAAATTTCCTTCTTTTTTTTTTCTTTGTTAAGTACGAAGATTACTTGTTTTCTGAACAAAAATTATAATATTGTGATAAATCTATTTATTAAAATTGTTTTTCTTTCAACTGAAAAAGACAATTACAATTGAACGCAAATAAAATTGGGAGAAATCAATATCTTTCTTTTTATATAAATTTATACATAAAAAACTATAGAATATTTACAACAAAAATCATCATATTATATAAAATATTTTCATATCAAACTTTTGTATATTTACTTAATTTGATATTGTTATAAGCGATTTTACATATTAACAATTCACAACTTATAAAATGTAAAACGTAAATATAATAGAGTTTAGCGTTTGTCGATCGGCCCGTTAATCTGCCGAGCTTTAGAAGCGGGACATAGACGTATATTTGTCTGGTAATCCGCTGGGTTTGAAAAGCAGGATGTAAAAATATATATTTTACCCACGATTATTCTAGCAGGCCGACCCGTTGCAGTAAAATAAAAAGTTTGTGGCAGGGTGGACCAGATGGACGCGGACCGGTCCATCTAACATCTATCTATATAAATGAGTACAAGTTACAACATTAGGCAGAGCTGAAAAGTTACAAATTAAAATTAAAATTGTTTAGAGTCCGGTTCAATACTTGAACTGAACGCTTCGATCAATCATAAATTGAACCGGAATTGCAATCAACTCCAACTCTTAGGAGTCTAATTGATACAAAAAATAATTCAGGGGTTTAATGTTGAAGAAAAGTATAAACCTAGGGACGAGTTTTTCAAGGTTATGTTTCTTCTCTTTCGCCTTTCCCATTTGAAAATTGAAATCATCTCTCTCTGCGCTTTCAACTTCACCGCTACACTCTCTTCTTCACTTCTCTAACAGTAGCGCCAAAATTCATCACCAAGATCGAAGCTTTCTTCAATGGAAGAAGAAACCCACGACGGATCTCTCGATCTCCAAGAGATTCGCAGGTTTTTTTAACTTCTCTCTCGTCTCTTTCATTCCTTGATTTTTGTGCTTACTTGTTCATCTATTTGTTCGAATTTTTCTCAGTCGCGTTAAAGAGCTCGAGTTCGTTCACCGGAATTGCAGAGACGAGCCTGGAGAATCATGTAGTTCCGATTCCGAGACTCTGGTCCAAGATTTTGTTCTTCAGTTTGAAGTAATTACGAGACTTTTTCAGTTTCTCATATTTGTCTAGTTTACGATTAGATGGCTAATTTCGATTTCGTGTTTGTGTAGCCAAAGGTGAAAGAGATTGTTGAAGATTACAGTGATCTTGATTTATTGGATGTTGAAGATTCAGGTTTTGCTCTATTTCGTTGAACTCTTTTACAGCTTTCTTTTGAGTGTTTGGCAACTGTTGTTTACTGTGACCTTAAGATGAAGTGTGTGAGTCAATAATGATGAAATTAAGTGATGCAAATCTCACAGATGCTTACTTGGAGTATTTGAGAAAGGAGCTTCATTCTGTGGAGGCTGAAAGTGCCAAGGTTTCTGAAGAAATTGAACGTCTTTCTAAGTCTCATGCCCAAGGTTCTATATTAGTTTTCTTCTACTGATTTAGTGTAGATAATATGAGTTTTTCCTACTGTTATTTTTCTAATATGAGTTTTCTTTTATGAATTTGTTAGATTCTACTAGGCTGGAAAGAGATCTTGAAGGTCTTCTATTGTCTCTGGATTCTATGTCATCTCAGGTTACTTGGTTGAATACATTATTTCTTTGGCTGGAATCAAAAGGCATAGTTTTGAGGGTTATGTGATTCTTATTTTAGGATGTGGAGAAGTTAAAAGAGAATCAACCATCTAGCAGCTCAATGGAAGTATGTGAAGTGAATGATGATGACAAGTTTAAGGTGCGATGTTTTAAAATTTTGTTTCTAGGAGAAGAAGCTTGTGTGTGTGAAACATGTATATATCTCAACAAAATTTCATCTTTTAACAACAGAATCTTCCAGTTTTTCCAACTCTTGCTTTGCCTGATCCATTATAGCTAATGTGGCAGAATGTACTAAACTACTTTTCTCGAGCACGCTAAGGCAAAATATCATATACTGTCCTTTCAATTATAGTTTCCCCTTCCCTGAATAATTTCTTTGTGGTTAAGACTTAACATGAAAAAGACATTTATTAAACTCTAAAACTTCCAGAACTTTTTTTCAGTACTTACTTTCTTTGCTTGCTACTGCCTGTCTTCTTATTGCTTTATATTGTGCATGGATTTTTCCATCTTTGGTTTGGATAGAAAAAGATTAGAGCTCTACCACATATCTTCTTAGTTTTCTTATACACCCTTTTTCATATGTTTTTCAGATATTTGAACTCGAAAATCAGATGGAGGAGAAAAGGATGATTCTTAAGTCATTGGAAGATCTGGATTCTTTACGTAAAAGGTAATTTAAACGTGCTATCAGATTTACATCCTTACCCTGTCTTTATTAGACTTCTTCACTTCTTCTACCTTCAGGTTTGATGCTGCAGAACAAGTTGAGGACGCATTGACAGGCTTGAAGGTGCTCGAGTTTGATGAAAACTATATTAGGCTCCAACTGCGAACATATATTCCAAAACTAGACGGCTTGCTTGGACAGCACAAATTTGAACACACTACTGAGCCATCTGAATTGATCCATGAATTGCTAATATACCTGAAGGATAAAACTACAGAGATAACAAAATTTGAGGTAAGAACACTCTCTGTCTTTCACTGCTGACTATTATGTATTAGTTTGCATGAATCTAGATAAATGTATCTGTTTGTTGCTTCCTGTTTCCTTTTTGTGTATAAAATTGACATCTACTCTCTCCCTCAGATGTTTCCAAATGATGTATACATAGGAGACATCATCGAGGCAGCTGATTCTTTCAGGTTTGTGCTCTAGCTTCTTTATGTCCTGAAATTTGTATTATTCATCATTCTGAAACTGTATGGTACGTAAGTTATCAGACTAATAACTAATAAGGAATCAGGGACGATAAGATAATATCCTTCTATTATTCTTGCTACCAAGAGCCTTCAATTTGAAAATTTTGGTTTTCAAAAGGTTACTCAGCCTCTAGCTTGAGTGTTCCCAGTTGTATGTATCTTTGCAGCCTAAACTAATTCATGCAAATAGCATACCAAGAAAACCCTGGAATGTCTGTTCCCTATCATGTAGGTTTTGTGATTCGGTATATGAATTTTGGATCATCTGAAATTTTTTATATCTCACTTAATTCTTTCCTCTGGCTAGCATAGCTACGTAAGAAACTGTAAGATATGCGTCCAACCTCTACAATTCATTCATATTTTTCAATGAGTTGAATTAATGTCTAAGCTGACTCGCATCAGCCTCAATTAGCAAAGTTACATTTTGTTTAATCTTACATTTTGTCATAACATATCTTAAAACTGCAGGCAGGTAAGGTTACACTCTGCAGTGCTAGACACAAGATCTTCAGTCCAGTGGGTTGTCGCCAAAGTGCAAGATAGAATTATTTCAACCACTTTGAGGAAATATATTGTGACGAGTTCGAAAACAATCAGGTGAGCCTTCCCTTCCAGTAGCTTAAGAGCTAAATTTTTCTTTCGTAGCATTGAGTTGTCTGAGCAAGCCAAAATTGACTGCATGTTCTATGATCCTATGGCAGGCACACGTTCGAATACTACGACAAAGATGAAACAATTGTGGGTCATATAGCTGGAGGTATTGATGCATTTTTAAAGGTCTCAGATGGTTGGCCACTGTTGAATACCCCATTGAAGCTTGAATCTCTCAAGAACTCTGACAATCAGTCAAAGGGAATTTCTCTAAGCCTTATCTGCAAAGTTGAGGTAAGACTATGTTTCTCCAAACTCAACACTTTCTTCTCGATTTTATATTTCCATCATAAACAAAGGTCCTTCTCTTGGTCATTGTTGTCAGTCTTATTTAATCTATCGAATTCGAACATTTAAGATATATAATAACATGATTAAGCCATTTGCCTAGACCAAATACAGTTTGCAACATTGTAGAGGTAAGTGCTATTGGTTTGGCTAAGCTTTAACGATTTGTCTCTTGCTCTACTCGTCAGGATCTAGCTAATTCCTTGGATTTACAGACCCGACAAAACTTATCAGGCTTCATGGATGCTATTGAGAAAATACTTGTCCAGCAAACCCGTGAAGAACTCCTCCAGTCCAATGAATCCTCCCAAAAATGACTAGCAAGAACCACCTCGACTCCATAACTTAGCATTTCCTGAAGAGTTTGTGCAGTTTTTCTTCCGTTTCTATCTCCTTATTGTTGTCTTTTGGTTTGTTATCTGCAACTCTTTCTTGTAATACTTTGGAATTGTATTATTACTTGACACAACTCTAGCTTATGTCCACAAGTTTCATCTTTACCACATTATAATCTCAAAATTCTTTGTTAAAGCTAAAGTGTCTCTAAGCTAAAGGGTCTCTAAGCCATTAACCAAAGAAATTTTTTACGTGTAATTTTGAAAGTATGCGATCAAATATGTAAGTTTTACATATGTGAGGACTACAGTTGCAAATATAGCAAAGTAATTTAGAAGCCTCTAAACTAAAAACCATTAGATAAAAAAGATTCGACCATTCTTCTTCTTCTTCTTCTTCTTCTTGATTTCATAGAAACCCTAGACCTGCAAATTCTACCTTCGATATCACCATTCTGTTCTCTCTAGTAATTGGTAATGAAATCTTAGGCTCTGCTTCTTGTTGATTAGGGATTTAGCTCTCATCTGAGAGATTGAAGAAGATAAAAATCGGTACTTTATTGTTTCAATGGCTTCAGATCGTGGTTCTGCTGCTGCTGGTAAGCCCTTTTGGATGAAACATGCGGAAGATGCAAAAATTAAAGACGAAGGAGAGAAAGACGCTGCGGCAAAAGCAGCTTTTGAAGCTACATTCAAAGGTGTAGACCAAACTACACATTTGATTGAAGCTGTTGCACCGGTACCGGAATCTGCACCGGAATCTGATAGTGATTCTGATGATGATGATGACGAATCTGATTACTTATCTAGGAAACCAATTGGTCCTGTGGATCCTAGTAAGTCTACAGCTTCTGGTGCTGGTATTGGTGGTGGAACGGCTTGTGTTCCGTCTACGTTTGTTGTTGTAACTAAGGATTCTGATGGGAGGAAAGTTCCTAATGGTGGAGCTTTGATTAGAGTTAAAGTGTGTCCTGGTGTTGGTGTTGGTGGTACTGATCAAGAAGGTGTTGTTAAAGATGTTGGTGATGGGAGTTATGCTGTTACTTATGTTGTGCCTAAGAGAGGAAACTATATGGTTAATATTGAATGCAATGGGAGTGCTATCATGGGAAGTCCCTTTCCTGTCTTCTTTAGCCAAGGTAATGGATTTGATCTCACTTTCAGGAATCTTATTGTTTCCATTGATGTTCATTTTATGTATATAGGCTTTGTTTGATGGTAAAGGTGTTGTCTTTATGATATTCTGAAACAGGGTCTTCTTCGACTGGACTGATGGGTTCTGCTCCAGCTTCATACTCGAATCTTATAAATCAAACTATGCCAAACATGCCTAATTACACTGGTTCTGTTTCGGGGGCTTTCCCGGGACTTTTGGGAATGGTTCCAGGCATTGCATCTGGTCCTTCAGGTGGTGCTATTTTGCCTGGAGTTGGAGCTTCGCTTGGGGAAGTCTGTCGGGAATATCTTAATGGTAGATGTGTGAACTCTATGTGCAAGTTAAACCACCCTCCTCAGAATCTGCTGATGACTGCTATAGCTGCAACGACAAGTATGGGTAATATGAGTCAGGTGCCTATGGCTCCTTCTGCTGCAGCAATGGCTGCTGCTCAGGCCATTGTTGCTGCACAGGCCCTTCAAGCTCATGCTTCTCAGATGCAAGCACAGGCTCAATCAAACAAGGGATCTTTAGGTACTGTGCCTTTCGTTGCTAGTCTCTCGATATTTATCTCTATTTTGCTTTGGGTCTCAAGTTGAATTTCCATTAGCTTTTTATTTAGTTTTCTTCCCTTTCTCGATACTCATGAGTTCTAGTAGCTTTTGGTTTAGGTTCCCCAGAAAAAGGAGAAAACGGGGATTCATTGAAGAAATTTCTCCAAGTTAGCAACCTAAGTCCATCGCTTACAACTGAACAACTTAGGCAGCTATTTAGCTTCTGTGGCACAGTAGTTGACTGTAGTATAACTGATTCAAAGCATCTTGCCTACATAGAATACTCGAATTCCGAAGAAGCAACAGCTGCTTTGGCATTAAACAATACGGAAGTCTTTGGTAGACCATTGAATGTTGAGATTGCAAAATCGCTACCTCACAAACCATCTTCAAATAATTCTTCGTCCTCATTACCACTGATGATGCAACAGGCCGTCGCGATGCAGCAGATGCAATTCCAACAGGCTATACTAATGCAACAAGCCGTGGCTACTCAGCAGGCAGCAAATAGAGCTGCCACAATGAAGTCTGCCACTGAGCTTGCAGCAGCTAGAGCTGCAGAGATAAGTAGGAAACTGAGACCTGATGGAGTTGGAAATGATGAAAAAGAAGCTGATCAGAAGTCTAGGTGGGCTTCCAATACAAATTTATAGACGTTTCCCTCTATTACCTATGGCTTGCCCCTTTCTCTTTTTGATAACGTTTTCATTTTTTGAAAGCTGAATTGATAGTCACCTCTCTTGTGCAGGTCACCATCTAAGTCTCCTGCAAGGTCGAGATCAAAGTCAAAATCACCAATAAGTTACAGGCGAAGACGGAGATCTCCGTCCTATTCACCACCGTTTCGTCGCCCAAGAAGTCATAGATCGAGATCACCATTAAGATATCACCGGCGATCAACTTATGAAGGGAGAAGGCGGTCATATAGAGATTCTAGGGATATTTCTGAAAGTAGGAGATACGGTAGATCAGATGAACACCATTCTTCCAGTTCAAGGAGAAGTAGGAGTGTAAGCCCCAAAAAGAGAAAATCTGGACAAGAAGATTCAGAGCTGTCAAGACATCGACGCAATAGCTCATCACGTGGAGATAAGAAATCATCTCGTGCTGGTTCACGATCACCGAGGCGACGTAAGGAAGTTAAGTCAACCCCAAGAGATGATGAAGAAAACAAACTCAAACGTAGAACACGGTCAAGATCTAGATCAGTGGAAGATTCTGCAGATATGAAGGATGAATCTAGAGATGAGGAATTGAAACATCACAAAAAGCGGTCGAGGTCAAGATCTCGTGAAGATAGGAGTAAAACCAGAGACACGTCTCGAAATTCTGATGAAACTAAACGGAAACACAGGCGGAGGTCTAGGTCCAGATCATTAGAAAACGACAATGATTCTGATGAGAAGGTTGATGTTGCTCAAGACGGTGACCTGAATTCCCGTCACAGTAGGCGCAGGTCAAAATCGTTGGACGAGGACTATGATATCAAAGAAAGGAGGGGAAGGTCCAGGTCTAGATCATTGGAAACGAAAAACAGGTCTTCTGGGAAAAATAAGCTGGATGAAGACAGAAACACAGGATCACGTCGAAGGAGGTCCAGGTCAAAATCAGTGGAAGGTAAGCATAGTTATAACAAGGAAACTCGGAGCAGAGACAAAAAGTCCAAGCGTCGTAGTGGAAGACGGTCGAGGTCACCATCATCTGAGGGTAAGCAAGGGAGAGATATGAGGTCATCCCCTGGATATTCTGATGAAAAAAAATCGAGACATAAGCGGCACTCCAGGTCAAGATCAATAGAGAAAAAGAACAGTTCAAGAGAAAAAAGGTCAAAACGTCATGAAAGATTGCGGTCATCATCTCCTGGAGGTGACAAAAGGCGGGGCGATAGATCATTATCTCCTGTTAGTTCAGAAGATCATAAGATCAAGAAAAGACACTCTGGATCCAAATCTGTGAAAGAGAAACCCCGCTCAGATTATGAGAAAGTTGACGATGGAAATGCAAATTCAGGTATGTTATCATCTAAAAAATTTTATAATGGAGAAGCATTGTATCCATATTCTGATCATCTTTATAATATGAGTTTTTCTTTATGAACTCTACAGATTCTAGTCCGCTGGAAAGGAATCTTGAAGGTCTTTTATTGTCACTGGATTCAATGTCATCACAGGTTAGTGGATTGAATAGATTATTACCTTGTAATTCCTCGGTAAATGTTTTTTCGCTGGAACCGAAAAGCTTTGTCTTGACGGTTCTGTGATTCTTATTTTAGGATGTGGAGAAGTCAAAAGAGAATCCACCATCTAGCAGCTCAGTGAAAATAGGTGATGCAAATGATGATGAGAAGTTTAAGGTGCGGTTTTCTTTCTAGGAGAAGAAGTTTCTGTGTGAACATATACAATCTTCCAGTTATCCCAACTCTTGCTTGGCCTGATTAATTAGACCTAATGTGGTAGAAAGCACTAAACTACTTTTCCGAGCACGCTAAGGCAAAACATCATATACTGTCCTTTTGATAATAGTTTCCAGTCCCTGAATAATTTTGTAGGTAGTGGTTAAGACTCAACATGAAAATTTTCCAGAAGTTATATTGGTGCTTACTTTCTTTGCATGACTGCTTGTCTTCTTGTTGCTTTATATTGTGCAGAGATTTGTATATTTCCGGTTATAATAGAAAAAGATTAGAGCTCTACCACTTAACTGCTTAGTTACTTATACACCCTTTTCACATGTTTGAACTTGGAAATCAGATTGAGGAGAAAAGGATTATTCTCAAGTCATAGGAAGATCTGGATTCTATACGTAAAAGGTAATTTCAACGTGCTTACCGATTTACATCCTTACCCTGTCTTCATTTGAGTTCTTCACTTCTACTACCTTTCAGGTTTGATGCTGCAAAACCGTGAAGAACTCCATCCCAAAGAATCCTCCCAAAAGTGAGTACCAAGAACCACCTCGACTCCACAACTTAGCGTTTCCTGAAGAGTTAGTGCGGCTTTTCTTTCGTTTTGAACTCCTGAATGTGTTCTTGGTTTGTCGTCAGCAACTCTTTGTTGTAATAACTTTGGCATTTTCTGCCACGGTCCATCTTTACCTAATGATGGAGCTTGCTGCTTAATGCGTATGGAAAGATCAAAATTTTTAATTCTTGACATAAAAATGCCAAACTTTTTTGTCTTATAACTTCTGCTGGTCCTCGAGTCTCCTTTGAATGTAACATGTTTACCACATTATCTTATTATCCACCATATGTATCTCCTTTTCCCTAATAATATCCAAATTCTTTTTAAAGGGCTCTATAATTTCTATGTTTTTCTGCTCTGGCTCATAAAAGAATGACCAAATTAGAGATGCCATCATACAATCCTGCTTATTTATGATAACACAAGATCCATATCTTTTAACCAAACAAAGGGAAAATAATGCCAGCAAAAAATTAAAAGAGAGAATGATTAATGAGACCAAACGCTTAATGTTTTGTGACAAACGTTAGAGAAATATGTCTTTCTACAGAGTAATACCAAATCCAAAGAAGACGAGGGAGAAACTAAAAGTTTGAAACTGAATCACATCAAGAACCGAGTTAGTTCTCTCCTCACTCTACTCATCATCTTCATCGTCTTCAATGTCATCAAACTCAGAATCATTCGCAGATTCACTCTCAGAATCACTCAACACATACGTCATTTTCCTCCTATTCGCTCTTTGAGGCCTCGATTTTGCAGCAACATCTCCTCCAGATTTCTCAGACGATGAGTTTCCAGCCACATTCTCGCTGCTCTCCTCTTCCTTATTAGCCAACCTGCTCATCACTGAACTACTCTTCTTGTTAAACGGAGATGATCTCATCTTCCTCACTTTCTTCTCCGGGGACACACCAATTGCCACAACCTCTGTTGAAGTAACCGTCTGCTTCCCTCGTTTCCTCGGAGCTGCTGGTGGTTTTGCAGCTTTACTTGCCGCCGGTTTTCTTCCTCCTTTCTTTACTGGTGCAACCTCCACTACCACGTCATCATCATCGTCATCCACAGCAATTGCTTTCGATGTTTCAGTTGTTTCTGTTGATTAAACCACAGAAATGACAAGACTTAACTTCAGGAACCAGCATTACATACAAGCAGTTGTGTTAGACCAATGTTTCTTTGTCAATTATGTGACTTACTGCTTGATTCCGCAGGTGCTGAGCCGAAATTGTATTGAGCAAGCCGTTGTGCTAGATCCAACATGTCATCCTCTTCAACCTCCTGCAAAACAAAAACAAACAAATCAGAACACAAAATTTTGAAAAAAAAAATATTAAGTTTCACAGATTATACTGTCAATTAAAAAACTATGAAGAATCACCTTTGCAGCTGCTGGAGCCTTCTTCTTTGCTGCTTGTCTACCTTTTGGCTTCACCACTTCTGCTACGTTGTTATCTTATAGAATCAAGAAAAAGTTTCCAATGAATATTAGATCAAACCCAGAGAACAAAACACAATGAAAACACTTGAATAAGAGACTAACCTGTGTCCATTGCTGAATAGGAAGCCTCTGTTGTTTCAGATTCACTGGCTTTCTTTGTGGTCTTCTTTGGTGCTGGTTTCTTTGGTGCCTGCCTTTTAACCTTTACTGCTGCTCCAGATTTCTTCCTGATTTTTTCCTGTGCTGCCTTTCTATCCTCTTCAGCTTTAGCATCTTTCAGATCAAGTTTCTGCAATATGAGGAAAATGATGTATCAATGACAAATTGATAGTTTGTTATGTTTAAGCGTTATAAATAAGGGATAGCTTTGTGAATCCTTACATCTAGTTCCTTGTCAAGAGACTCTAGGTCTCCGAGCCAGAGGGCTTTCGGTGTGGTTTTTTTCATGTCTTCAACTGCTTTAATCGTTTTATCTCTGTCTGCTAATAACTCCTCAACTTTCTCTATAGTCAACGAACCTATAGCCATTGCCAATAGGTAGTCATATTCTGAGCCAGGTATATAACTAGTGGAGCTTGATTCAGGATCCACTAAGATTTCTTCAGGTTCTTCAGCTGCATCATCAACTGCTCCAGCAATTGCAGCTTCGACAGACTCGGCCTTCTTCGGAAATGGTGTGAACCCTCTCTGTCTTAAGTCCTCAACAATATCGGCTTTCTTCCTATTGTTCACTATGATTTCTCCACTGAGAACTCCAAGAATAAACCTCACTTTGTTTTCTAGTTTCAACAGCTCAATTTCCATATTCTTCACCATGGTTTCCTGTGTACATCATAAGAACGTTAATGTTACACCATTGCCTTAATAACTAAAACCTCTAAATGACTTGAATCATAGTTTCAGATTTCCTGATTTCCTAACCTTTCTCTTCTCATAGTATTCAAACCTGAGGTCAAAGAACTCTTCAAGGACTGCAACGTGAGATGTAACATTAGTATGTATAGAGAAGAAAACAAAAAACAGAACGAAAACAAGTTGGATCTCTTCTTACTCTGTTCTGGAGTCGCATATTTCTTTATCACACCTTTTTTGTCAAAGAGATGCATATTACTTGTAGCGATTGTCGTGGTGAGTTTCAATTTCTTCAGAAAGCCCTCTTGCCGAGCCGCCAGCATGTTCTCTTCACTCAAAATAAGGTCAAAATCAACAGATTTATCATCATTGTAAGCCTTGATATCCTGCAGAAAGAAAAGGAACAAATTAGAAAGAAGCATAAATGAATACTAGAACAGTTTTCTAGTTAAAGCAGGCATTCTACCTGGAAAAAAGGGGCACCATTATCTGTCTTCAATGACTGCAAGAATTGTTTATAATCATCATTCCACCTTCTGATTGGCAACTCCGTAACTCGAATAGTTGTGTCATCAACCTCCTCATATAGACCAGTGATTGTGTAGGTACAACCACCTTCTTTGGACGCAGTTTTCTCAATTGTTCCTTTAAAACCTCTATACCAAGGATCCATGGGCAGCATACTTTCACCATTAAGTCGACGCCTTACATTAGCAACAATCTCTCTAGGGTTATAGTTTGGTATGAACGTGCTCCACCCAGTTCCAATGCCTTCAGAGCCATTGACAAGTACAGTTGGAATGATGGGCATGTACCTAACCAACATTAACATATTAAGTTAACTAGTCTTAGGAAAAAAACAAATAATTAAGGAGGCCAAAGAATTACCAAGTTGGCTCTATCGATTGCCCGTCTTCAGTCAAGTAATTAAGAAGGACATCATCATCCTTGGGAAACAAGATCCTTGTTACTGGAGAGAGCTTAGTGAAAATGTATCTTGCACTAGCTGCATCTTTTCCACCCTACAATTGTGTACACTATGATGAGTACAAGCATAGATAAATGAGAACAGTTGGTCTATTAGCTATACTTACCGAAGTTCGTGTACCAAATTGACCATTTGGTTGAAGTAAGTTGATATTGTTGCTGCCCATGTAATCCTGCGCCATGCCTATGATAGCACTGGCAAGGCTCTGCTCTCCATGATGATAAGCTGACATAGATGATACATAACCACAGAGTTGGGCAACCTTCATTTCCTTACGTACGATTTTCTTGAATGCAACGAAAAGTATCTTTCTCTGACCCGGTTTGAGCCCATCAACCATTGAGGGAATTGACCGTTGAAGATCCGCCATGGAGAACAAGATCAGTTCTTTGTTCACGAAGTCACTGTACGTAACTTTTGGTTGTCTCTGATCAAGATGAGTGCCAGGCTGAATGGAAAATGGGAAATCAGAACACGCAGATGTAATAAGCAATGAACAAATGTTTTTAAAGATAACTCAGTCCTCCATACCACATAGTTCGAAAGCCAATTTTTTCGGGCTTCGATCTTCTTTTTACTGAAAGCAAGTTCAATGGCTTCTCCATCTTGTTCATCCTCCCAAACAAAATCCTTTTTGTGAAGACCAAGATTACTAAAGTACTCTTTGCCCTCCTCAGACGTACTTGTACCCAACCCCTGGAAAAATATAAGGACACTTAGTATGCAAACTTGCAGAGAACATGAGCACTTTCAATAAGTTCTTCCTAAACAGTTATAGCAGATAGCAAACCTTGTAGTATTTGATTTCCCATCCGCTTGCATTACCCTTCAGACTTTCTTTCCAGTCTTCGTATTCAGGCATTGAGTAAAATGACAGAACTTTTTTTGTATTCTTATGCGTAGCCTGTGTATAATATATTCAGGGCAGTTGTTAGCATTTTTTAATCTCATGTCAAGCACTATAAGATATTATGAAAGAGTTTTGTTTTTCTACTTACCTTCACAATGGGTGTTATAAACTCAACCAGGAATGATGGAACCTTGAGTAACGACGGCCAGAAAGAGTGAATAAAATTGATTAAGAGCCCCTTTATATGAGAACCATCATGATCCTGCACAAGGTAGAGAGAGGGAGAGAGATTTCGTCAAGAACATATACATATAGAATAATGCACTGAGTGTAAAGTTAGGGATTAGACTTTTGACATACTTGATCAGTCATGATCATCATATGGCCATATCTTAATGAGTTAACATTCTCGTACTTCATATGTTGCTTTAGTCCAAGGATCTTCTTGAGGTTCTCAATTTCCTTATTGTTTGTAATCTGAGTGGTGCTGGCTTCCCTAACATTCAATAGCTTTCCTCGAAGCGGAAACACACCGCAATAGTCATTACCCAAGACAGACCTCCCCGCCAACTGACCATAATGAGTATTAGGAGTTTTGTGATAAAAATAGGGAGGTAGCAGAAACTATAGATCAAAACCACTTACAGCTAGAGATTTTGCTGAGTCTCCTTCAGTCAAAATCAACGTACAGTGTCTAGAGTTCTTCCCTCCAGCTTCGGCGGCATCGTCTAACTTATCAACTACAACCCTCCCTGTTTTGGCTCCATCACTTTTCTTTAGATCTTTGCTCTGCTTGAAATCTGCCCATGAAAGCAAATTCTCCACTACGCCACATTTTCCAACTAAAACAAACATTATATAAGAAAAAGGGATTAATCACACTTCTAGAAACCAGTTACATCGCTTATCCAAAAAGACAGATCGAGCACACCATACCTTTCTTCAGAATATCTTCTGAAAGTTCACATTTCGACCCGAAACTGCTCTGTCGAAGAGTCAGGGTTTCTTTTGTTTGAGAATCAAAAGCAGGATTGTCAATCAATGCATTGACAAAGACCCACAGATGGTTCTTCACATTATGGGCCTTAACATTAGCGTTTTTATTCTTTTTGTTCACAACACCCACAATATAGTTTGTGATCTGACTCGTCACATAATCAACATGTGTACCACCCTTGATTGTTGCTATGGAGTTGACAAAGCTGACCTGGTAGCAGCAGAAAACGTTGTTAAGACTTAACTCCTTCTTCAAAAAAAAGTAATAACAGCCAACCAAATACATACCTGCTGAAATTGTCCTTCACTTAAGCTCACACAAACCTCCCATCTGTCATTAACTTTCTCAGTCAACCTAATCACACAAAACTCAAAAAGATCAAAATCCATTCCAAGAAACACAATTGTAATAACTGAGCAATAACAAATCATAGAACAAACCTTGGGAGAGGATCGGCATCCGCCCTTGACTTATTAGCTGCACTTAGGTATAGATCAACATAATCAGTGAATGACTTTACTGGTATTTGTTTCCCATTCAGCTCAACTTTGACAGACTTCCCCAAACATCCAGCAATATCAAACACTCGCTTACTCATTAGAGCAACCACATCGTCTTCTAATTCAGTCATGTTAAACTTCTTCAAATCAGGTTTGAATGTAACCTTCGTCCAGTTCTCACTCTTATTGCACTTTGTTATAACTGGTTCAGATTTCTTCCCCATATTGTTCTCAAAGACCTAAATCATCACCGGTAAAAGTTCAGTTCCTAAACGAATCAATTATGCAACAATTGAAACAACAACAATACAAAATCATAAAACTACTGTATCAATCGAAATCAGATGATAAAACTCAACAAATCATTTAGGCCACAAATGCAACAAAAACAACACAGAAGCAATAAACGATTCAATACCTGCTTATACTTCTTGAGTCTCTTCCCATCTGCAGTCTCGATGATGAATTCAGTAGAGAAGATATTAGTAAGCTTAGCACCATATCCGTTTCTTCCACCAGTAGTCTTCTTCACATTATCATCGTAGTTACTACTCGTCAACAAATGACCAAATATCATCTCCGGTACATAAATACCTTCTTCCTGATGAATCTCTACAGGAACTCCAGCTCCACTGTTACAAACACTAATCAGATTCTGCTCAACATCAATCACAACTTGAACAGAATCCATCGACGGATCTCTCTGTTTGTTATCAGCAGCGTTCACGAGAATTTCATCAAAGATCTTATACAATCCAGGTACATAGGTAACAGAACGATTCACCATCTCATCGTGCTCATAAACCCAAAGCGTTTGGGTGTGTTTCTCAATCGATCCGATGTATGTATCAGGACGGAGCAGAATGTGCTCAAGCTGCGATTTCTTCTGATACATTTCCTCGATCGTCTTCCCGGCGGCGGCGGTTCGAGATGATTTCGGAGGTTTCGCAACATTGGCGTTGTTGCTGTTTTGAAGAGGGAGTTTGGTAGCCATGGTTGGGTGTTTCTGAGAGAGAAACTGGATAGTAGATCTGAAGGATCTAGACACGAAGAGAGGCGATTATAGAGAAACAGATCTAGAAATTAGGGTTTTCGCGAAAGTACAGAGAGAAGAAGAAGATGAAGAAGATGAAGAAGAAGAGCGTACAAAGGAGTGTTGTTGTGTATCGTTTTGCTTTTTGAAATTAGGAATTTGTGTGAGATATATTGAATTGAAGAGAGAGAGAGATTCACAACGGTTGGGTCTTGGGTGTTTGACCGAATCAAAATTCGAAATTTGAATTTGGGATAGGAGCGGGAGAGAAGATATTTTTCAGAATTTTGATGATCGTAGAGGGAAGATCTGACGGCTGTGATTAACCTAAATTCTTACAAGGAATCTAACGGCTGTGATTAACATACGATCAGAATTTTGATGATCGTATGGGGAGGATCTGACGGCTGTGATTAACCTCACTGTTTATAAGGAATCTGACGGCTGCGATTAACCTTACTGGGAAGGATCTGACGGCTGTGATTAACCTAAATTCTTATAAGGAACTGACGGCTCTGATTAACAATACGATCATTTTAGTATGCAAATCTGACGGCTGCAAATTAACCTAAGCTCTAATCTGTTCTTTAAAAATCTTATTATCCCCTGTAAATCAAATACATAATATATATGAAATGTAATAAAAATAAAAATTGCTACATACTGTATGTCATTTTTCAAACGTTATTTTCGAATTTAGCTTATTTCTTTTAGGTTGTTTGATTATTTCTATATTTCTTTTACAAACTTACATATAAATATGGAAGCTTAATTTATGGTGAATATCAAAATTTTGTCTAAGGTGAACAATTTAATAGTATCTTTGATCATAGATGTTTTTTTTTTTTGTCAAAGATCATAGATGTTATATATCTGATTATTTGGTAAAATGCTCGTATTAATTCATGCAAAAATAACTTTTTATATGGTATGTAATTATTTGCTACTAAAGTAACCCTGATCAATACTAGACATTTTTAGCATCCTCTTTACTGTATTTTGCATTTACCTTGTTAAAGGATTAGCAAATGTGGACCAGTTACCCCATTGTTAATATAAGAGGCTTTTTGTTCTTTAATTTGACTATGTGATTCGCGGTTTTGCAGCAATATTTGCTTATTGGATCTTCTTGGCTAGTGACACCGATAATTAATCTCGCTACAGTACAAGTCTACGACTAATAGAACTAAAAATTGAGAAGAACAACTAAACCGGTAAAAACAAAAGTATGTTGGAGCCTGGAGGCTTTGAGATAAATGTAGTTACACAAGTACAGGTTAAATAACTAGCCAGGATTTTTAAAATGACGACCATATGTTTACTTGTTAATTATAAAGGTGTTTGCATTAATTTGCTCCATCTTGCAGAATATATGTAAATGTAGATGCAATCCAATATGCAAAAGCAACAGCTTGATAATGTAAACATAGAAACATGGAGATGGAAATGGAGTGAAAGTGAAAAACGAAGGCGAAGGTTGCTGCAAGAGCGGGCCAGTCCACGAGAGAAACTTATTAATGTCGCTGCCTTATAGACGGGTAAACGGTTTTGTTCCTCTTTATAACTAAGGAGGGTTATAGAACAATACAATGTCAAGAACTTTTTGTGTTAAACTTTACTAGGATCTTTTTTTTTTCTTTGATCAAATATAGTTTGTGAAATGAGTTTCTAAGGCACTTTAGGTGTGTTTTGTAGTAGCGAAAAGATATAGACAGGCGCATCATTATTCAAATGTAGCTAATCTAAATTAGATGGAAACACCAAACTCAAATCCAAACGAAGAACAAAAACATACCGAACCAAACATGAATTTATAGGATAAAAAAACTTATGAGATCTGTCCGCAGTCGGCGATGATCACGGGCTTGGAAGGTACGCAGTTACCAGTTCCGACCTCTTTGTCAATGCTCTTGATCACATCCAATCCTTCAACAACATGGCCGAACACAACATGCTCAGTATCGATAATAGGGCTCCCCTCCATGCAAATCATGAACTGAGATTCGTTGGTGTCAATACCACGGTTCGCCATGGCGAGGATACCTGGACCTGTTTGCTTATTGATGAAGTTCTCATCCTCGAAAAATCTATCCCCATAGATTGATTCCCCTCCGGATCCGTCACCAGCAGTGATATCTCCTCCACATAACATTTGATCGGGAACCAGACGGTGGATGATTGATCCCTTGTAGTGGAGTGGCTTACCAAGCTTCCCCATGCCTTTCTCGCCAGTACAGAGGGCTCGGAAGTTCTCCGCCGTCCGTGGGGTCGTGTGAGCAAAGAGCTCTATCACGATCCGACCAGCCAGTTTGCCACCAACGGACATATCAAAGAAAACTTTAGGGTTAGCCATTTTCAAAGTTCGATCAGTAAGGTTAGGGGTTTCTACTATGAGGGGTTCTTCCTTAACTTGTTCAAGGCCACCAGCCGGAGGATGAACATTAACGTTTAATCCGCCACCACCTCCACCAGCCGGTGGTACGAGTCCGACAACTGGTTTAACGTTAATTGTAAACCCACCACCAGCCGGAACATGAATTGTAAAACTCATTTCCATCTCCAGAGATATTAGGGAGAGATGCGACTGCGTTTGTGAATAAAAATGTATTTATAGAAATTCATCTTCTAATTTAGGTTTAGATTAGATGCCGTTTAATTACATTCAGCTGTGATTTTTGTTTTGTAAATTAACAATCAGTTATGATCTTGATCTTACTTGCTAAATAAAATAAAGATATATTTCATTTCTAACGTAAAAATTGAAAATACTTACTGGATATATATACATAATTAGACGTGATATATGGGTGAATATCTAAAATTCTCAAATTCGTAATTTACCTAGATCCTGGATTCAATGTATGATGTTAGATGACTAAATCAAATTTAATCCGGTGTTAAATATAAATTCATATTCTCACATTGCACTATTCACATATTGACTAAATAAAATTTAATCAGAGTAGTTATATTTGTCAACGTTATTACCAATTTCGTAATTATGAATTTATGTATGTGCAAATCAAAGATTTGGATATTTAACCTACAGACAATATTAAATTAAATGTAACAACACTATATTCAAAAAAGATAGTGTTTGCTTGTTAATTACAAAGGTGTTTGCATTAATTTTTTTTTTTTTTTTGCATTAATTTGCTCCAATATGCAGAATATATGTAAATGTAGATGCAATCCAATGTGCAAAAGCAACAGCTTGATAGTGGAAACATAGAAACATGGATAAGGAAATGGAAGTAGCGGTGAAAGTGAAAAACGAAGGCTAAGGTTGCTGCAAGATCGGGCCGGGAGATGTCTGGTCCACGAGAGAAACTCATTTATATATGTAGCTGCCATATAGACCGGTAAACTATTTTGTTGCTCTTTATAACTAAGGAGGGTTAAGAACATTACAATTGATTAGATTTCGAATAATTGCAATGTCAAGAACTTTTTGTGTTACACTTTACTAAGATCTTTTTTTTTTCTTTGATCAAAGATAGTTTGTGAAATGAGTTTCTAAGGCATTTTAGGTGTATTGCGTTGTTGCGAAAAGATAGACGACGCATCATTATTCAAATGTAGCTAATGTAAACACGATGGAAACACCAAACGAAGAACAAAAACATACCGGACCAAACATGAATTTATAGGATAAAAAACTCTAAGCCCTATGAGATCTGATCGCAGTCGGCGATCATCACAGGCTTGGAAGGTATGCAGTTATATTTTTTTATAGATTTATTGATTTAACAAAAGATTTATGGAATTTTTATAAAAATATAGGTTTAATGTTATCTCTTTCTTAAAAATAAATTTGAACGATCGCATCTTTTTATTATAACTATTCTTTATGCATTTTTCACTTATAAATGGTTTTGGCATCATAAACAATTTTCAAAATAATAGTGTTTTGGATCATAAATGTTTCTTATATATGAACAAAACGGCAATGTTTTGGATCATACGGCCAGAGTATGAACAAAGCGGCAACGTTTTATGTGCTTATATATATATATATATATATATATATATATGTTTGGGTCCGGTTTGTGATAATTGGTGAAATACGAAAAAGAAGGCAAGAATGGCAAAATTATACCCATGAATTCCACCGTCTTCCTCCACCGCTTAATCAACTTATGAAAGTAAAAAGGAGTTTTGATCTAAATCGGTTACAAAGGCTTTTTGATAATCATCTGTTAGAAGGCTTGCAGAGCTTTTCTCGACCATCTTCCTATACTATGTTACATTAGCAAACCATAAAAAACAGAGACATTAGCATAAGAACATCGTTACTAATGAAGAAAACCATAAATGTAGCAAAACTACCTGCAGGGGAGGACCCATCGGAACCATTGGAAGCAAAGGAATCCTTGGATGTTGTTCCGGGATATGTGCTACTTGGGCATTCACTTCCGGATAGTGGATGAGAAACCTGTCCACGTCGTTGATGCGGTAACGCCTAGTTGCAATGGCGAGGAGTGGATCACCATTAGGATTAACGGATACAGAATTCCAATATTCAACGGCCTCCTCTCCATTAGCATACTACATAAAAGACAAAAATATTGATGATGGTTACTCAGAAAACACACAAATTAGTTTTTTTTTATTACTTGAACGATCTGCGTTTCGTAACGGTGACTATTAGCATAAGCGTGAAAATCTCTGCGTCTTAGCATATCAGTATTGCACAGAAATATGTCGTTATGAGGTTGGTGAACCAGAATCTCCCTCGCCTCGAGAGTGTTGTCGTGAAGCAAAAGGTGAAGAACCTCACTGCAAGACAACCTCTTGTTGGCTACTCTATGTTGATATTGTGAATAAACGGAAATTTAAATTGCAAGAACCTAATGTTGTGTACAATATATTTACAAATACTTATTCTGAATTTTAATAATAATTATTTTCATTTTATTAATTAAGCAGAAAATAGATATTCTATTTATAATCATTATTTGCTGTACCAAAAAATTCAAAAAATGAGTTTTTTTTTTTTGTTTTTGTAAACCCAAAAAAAAGAGTTTTAAATTGAAAAAGATAGATTTACAACCACAATAACTATGATCAAGGATAAGGATAGTTTTAATGATAAATGTTCTATATGTCTTAAATTCAAAGGTTTTGTGTTTAAGAAAGAAACATTATTAGATTTAAAAAGAAATAATTTTTTTGAATACCAAAATCGTTAGTAGAGAAGATGCAAGTGTAATTGGGATGCCATTCTATGGGATTTTGCCAATGCACAGCCAGGCGGTGGTGGAGGAGCGCCAGGCGGCGGTGGTGGTGGAGGAGCGCCAAGAGGCGGTGGTGATGGAGGAGCGCCAGGCGGCGGTGGTGGTGGAGGAGCGCCAGGCGGTCGTGGTGGTGGAAGAGCTGGCGGTCGTGGTGGTGGAAGAGTTGTAATAGTTCCAAGACGTGGTGGTGGTCGAAGAGGTAGAAGACATGTAATACTTCCAAGACGTGGTGGTGGTGGTATCTTGTCCAGTTTCACCAGGCATCTCTCTAGTCGTCGGAAACATGCACTTAAGGTAATTAAGACAGACTTGTTGTGTCTGTGTCATTGTCTAACTATTTTTGAGCCGAACAGCCTTTCCTAACATCTTATAAATGGTTTTGGCATCATAAACAATTTTCAAAAAAATAGTGTTTTGGATCATAAATGTTTCTTATATATGAACAAAACGGCAATGTTTTGGATCATACGGCCAGAATATGAACAAAGCGGCAATGTTATATATATATGTTTGGGTCCGGTTTGTGATAATTGGTGAAATACGAAAAAGAAGGCTAGAAGGGCAAAATTATACCCAAAAAATTCCACCGTTTTCCTCCACTGCTTAATCAACTTATGAAAGTAAAAAGGAGTTTTGATCTAAATCGGTTACAAAGGCTTTTTGATAATCATCCGTTAGAAGGCATTCACTTCTGGATAGTGGATGAGAAACATGTCCACGTCGTTGATGCGGTAACGCCTAGTTGCAATGGCGAGGAGTGGATCACCATTAGGATTAACAGCTACAGAATTCCGATATTCAACGGCCTCCTCTCCATTGGCATACTATATAAAAGACAAAAAAATTGATGATGGTTACTCAGAAAACACACAAATTAGTTTTTTTTTATTACTTGAACGATCTGCGTTTCGTAACGGTGACTATTAGCATAAGCGTGAAAATCTCTGCGTCTTAGCATATCAATATTGCACAGAAATATGTCGTTATGAGGTTGGTGAACCAGAATCTCCCTCACCTCGAGAGTGTTGTCGTGAAGCAAAAGGTGATACCTCACTGCAAGACAACCTCTTGTTGGCTACTCTATGTTGAATTTGTGAATAAACGGAAATTTAAATTGCAAGAACCTAATGTTGTGTACAATATATTTACAAATACTTATTCTGAATTTTAATAATAATTATTTTTATTTTATTAATTAAGCAGAAAATAGATATTCTATTTATAATCGTTATTTGCTGTGCAAAATAAATTCAAAAAATGAGTTTTTTTTTTTTTTTTTTGTAAACCCAAAAAAAAGAGTTTTAAATTGAAAAAGATAGATTTACAACCATAATAACTATGATCACGGATAAGGATAGTTTTAATGATAAATGTTCTATATGTCTTAAATTCAAAGGTTTTGTGTTTAAGAAAGAAACATTATTAGATTTAAAATAGAAATAATTTGTTTGAATACCAAAATCGTTACTATCATACACAAATTTAAAATTTTGTTAAATATTTTCCAATCAAACTATAATGTCATAAAATTGGAAACAAACATTAGATAGATTTTAACAACTATATTTATGATCCTTACCAAGAAAAAACTATATTTCTGATTACATGTATGAATAGATCTCTTATTCCCTATTATGAGTATTTATAAGTACAATGTATGAATAGATCTTATTCATTCTATTAAAAACACGCACAATATTAAAATTAACGTCATAACACTTCATGCAAATATTTTTATGTGGTGGATCGCGGGTCCGATCCTAGTTTCTTTCACAAAAGTACATGTAAAATAATAGTCTAATAGCTTATGGTAAAAATGCTCGTATTTATTCATTGCAAAAGTACCTTTTATTGGATACTATAGTGTCAATATCATCAGTTGCTGAAAAAAAACAAATGTGTCCATATGACCATATTAATCACTGTCCAGGTAAGTCTATGCTAAATAGTGATGATGAGTCTATGTCACTAAAGCTGAAGTTAATCTTAATTAACTCATTCCATTAGCTTATCTTGTTATCTAACACTTATTTTGTTTAAGTTAACCATTTGTTTCTTGATTAAATCGTGACTAAGTTTACCATTGGATCACTGTCTACGAAATTTAATATTCCGAATTGAAAACATAAGATATAATAACATGATTAAGCCATTGGCTCAAGTACAATTTGCAACATTTTGTGCAATAAGAGTGTCTTTTGTTTTGTAATTAACTTAACGATTTATCACTTGACTTCCATCTAATTTTTCATGAACTAGCGAATTCTCTTGATCTGATTTATCTCCCGACCAAACTTATGAGGCTTCATGGATGCTATCGAGAAATTACGTGTGTAACAAACCCATTCCAATAAAACCTCCCAAAAGTGAGTAAAATGTCTAACAAGACCTTCCTTCACTCCATAACTTCAGCGTTTTTGAAGACTTGTTACGATTTGTCTTCAGTTTCTATCTCTACAACATTGTCTTCAATTTTGTTGTAATACTTTGGAACTTTTCTGCCACGGTCCATCATTAGTTAATGATGGAGCTTTGCTGCTTATAGCTTATGAAAAGAACCAAAAATTTTAATACGAGACGTAAAAAAGTAGCAAAACTTTATCGTCCTATAACTTCTTCTGGTCCTACCTTTAGCTTATGTCCTCAAGCTTCTTCTAAATGTCAACATCTTTACCACACTATCTTATTATCCGCCATATCTAAATATATTTGTTAATCATAAAGTACACAATATCCACATTGTATTTAATATTTTACATTATCATGATACATGCATCTATCTTTTTCCACAACCATCTATCTTTTTCCACAACCACTTGTGCATGCATATACCTAAAGAAATGATTTGTTTTTTCTTATTTATTATCCGGCAACACTATTGGTTCCTCTGCTCTGGCTCATGGAGGAAACCACCAGAGAAATGTTCTCACCACCTAATCTTCCTCTTGAAATGATGGAAGAGATTCTCTTAAGACTACCCGTAAAGTCTTTGACGCGATTCAAATGTGTTTGCAGGCCATGGAGATCTTTGATCTCAGAGACTCTGTTTGCTCTGAAACACGCTTTGATCTTGGAGGCGTTGAAGGCAACCACTTCCAAGAAGAGTCCTTACGGAGTCATCACAACTTCTCGGTACCATCTCAAGTCGTGTTGTGTCAATTCTCTGTACAACGAGTCAACGGTCAACGTTTCTGAACATGATGCTGAGCTTTTAGGAAGAGATTACTATCAAGTCGTGGGGACTTGTCATGGATTGGTTTGTTTCCACGTAGATTACGACAAAAGCCTCTACTTATGGAACCCAACCATCAAGCTTCAACAAAGATTGTCTGGTTCGGATCTTGAAACGAGCGATGATGAGGTTGTTGTAACGTATGGGTTTGGTTATGATAAATCTGAAGATGACTATAAAGTGGTTGCATTGTTGCAAAAAAGACACCAAATGAAGACAGAGGCAAAGATCTACTCAACGAGACAAAAGCTCTGGAGAAGCAACACGTGTTTCCCATCTGGAGTTGTTGTTGCTGACAAATCAAGATCCGGAATCTACATCAACGGGACTCTAAACTGGCCAGGCACTCACTCGTCATCATCATCATGGACCATAATATCATATGATATATCACACGATGTGTTCAAGGAGCTTCCCGGGCCAGTTTGTTGTAGCAGAGGATGTTTTACAATGACGCTTGGAGATTTGAGAGGATGTCTTTCTATGGTGTGTTATTGCAAAGGAGCTAATGCAGATGTTTGGGTGCTGAAGGAGTTTGGAGAAGGAGAATCTTGGTCTAAAATCTTGAGCATTCCTGGTTTGACTGACTTTGTTCGACCTCTATGGATCTCAGACGGTTTAGTGGTTTTGTTGGAGTTTAGATCCGGTTTAGCTCTCTATAACGGTGCCAATGGAAGGTTTCATTACCCAGTTTCAAGCAGCTTAAGTGGTTGTCGCGACGCAAAAGTTTATGTCAAGACAATGGTTTCTCCAAATGATCTTTGACCTCTCCAAATATTATGGCTAGATCAACATTTCTGAATGTTATATTTTTTTGTAAAGTAGGAACAAATTAGATTTATTTAGTTCTATTCGATAACACTAAGATTTTTTCAAATTCTGTTGTTAGAAAAGAAACAGTGCCAATACAAAAATTTCATTTCAAGAATTATTAATCTGGATTTGTTTCGGTTACTTATATGCACATCAATATTATACATCTACACTTAGGAAAAAAATCTTGTTTTCTTAATTCTCTTTAATCGTAAAATTACATTCTCATGTGGGAAACAAACCAAAAAAAGGTTCCTAAGAGGAAGTAATTTGGGCCGTTAGATCAGGAAGCTACTTTATCAGAGCTGGAGCTCCGACCAGATCCTGAATTAGTGAAGACAGGAGTGTCTCTAGTAGGCATTGAGACAGAACCACGACCACTTCCACCTACACTGTTTCCCATATCTTTGGTCTTGTGAAGCAGAAATGTTCCTGACAAAATCGTCACAAACCCACACAACTGTGTTGCAATCTTCAATCCACTCTGAGAAGCCCAATCCTGTGATCTCACATAGAGGAATCCTTAAGAAAATATTTATTTACTTGAGAAAGAAGAAAAAGGTATTAGAGATTTGAATTGACCTTGAACATGATCATACTAGCTATGATTGTGAAAGTTGTGAACATAACGTAGTAAACCGGAGATATAACCGCTGTGTTGAATGTATCCAATGCCTTTTTTTGCCAAATACAAAGAGAAAAACTTAGCAAAATGAATATGAAAGCCAGTGGTATTGCGATATCGGTTAAATTTTACTAGTTCTTTTTGTTTACCTTGTTCAAGTAGTTGATTTGCAAAAGGCAACAAGTTGCAACTACTAAAATGAAAATCCAAGTGTTGAAGTATTTGAACTGATTCGTCCCCGAAAATGTCAGTTTAATCGCAATCGCCACAGCTTTGACACTCATAACCTAAAAACACAAGAAAGCCTAAGAAAAACACAAGAAAGCCTAAGGTTAACAAAGAGACAGAGGGCTCAAGAAATACGTACAGTAAGAGAACCCATTAAGGAACAGATTCCGACATATACTATCATATGAGTCTTCCCGTAGCGCGGTTCATAGTAAAAGATCAGTATAGCCACCACAACCACAATCACAGCAGAATACACAAGGAAACCTGATGAAACAGAGCTTCCATATATACATCAGTCTTCACTAGAATCGATTTTGCAAACCAAAACTTTGCGGTAATTATGAACATATACCTGGTTCAATAGCAAGCTGCCATATTTGCTTGACTGATTCTATTTTCTGTTCATGCGGGGCGTGTAAGACTATAGTTGTAGACCCAACAACACAAAGAATGCAACCGAGTATCCCAAACATATGCAGTTTCTCTTGCAAAATAAAATGCGCGAGCACTGCGCTGCATAAAACATGGATCTTTGTTTTCAAGAAAACCATATTCTATAATCTAAATGTGATATTGATGCCACTTTCAACAATAAAAATACCTGAATATGATACTTAAAGCTCCCAAAGGTGTAACAAGAATAGCCGGTGCAAATGCATAGGCCGCAAAATTAGCTACTTCCCCAACAATCACTAAATTAAGAGATAAAACACACGTTTAGTCAATTCAACAGAATCTTGAAAAAACATTTTTGCAGAATTTGATAAGACTTACTTGTTATCATTCCAGCCCACCACCATGGTTCCTTTAAATATCCATACCCTCCTTCACCTGCTCGGACACCGCTAGCACCGGCTTTCTTGAGACCTTTTTTCTTGATGATGAAGCTAGAACCAATAAAAATACTTGAAGACACTGCTAAAATGACTCCATTTATGTTATCAGGTGACATTTGATCCATCTTAGCTATATATAATTTGTTTATATATAAATAAGATGAATCAGCCTGAAATATGAAACTCCTAGAATAATTTTTTTGGGAGGAAGATTCCAAATCACTTCAAAGAGATTCTTGCATCTGGAGACAAAAAAAAAACAGAACAAGAACATCAAAAGGCAATTATTTCTGATTTTAAGATAAACTATAGAGAAAAGATAAGCAAAGGCACATACAAATTCCAAATGATTACTTTAATAATTAGCTCATCAACCAAAACACAAGAATCGATTCAGAGAAAAAATATATTAAAATCCCAACAAATGATAGAACAAACAAATATATAAACCCAGAGAGAAAATAGAATCATATGGAATTCAAAAGAAGAAGAAAAATCGACTAATGATACTAAGGAAAATAAGAAGACAAATCTTTAATTAAACCCCAAACAAAAAAAAAACACAAGAAGAATAAGAAAGAGACAAAAAATTTACTTCAAAAATAGAATCAAAGCGATGCTTGAGAGAGAATATACGGTCCTTGAAAGTTTTGAAATTTTGATTAGACTTGTTCCTCTGATTTTTTTGCAGAAAAATTAACGTATGAAACCTCAAAACCCTCTCATATACGTTACCTAAAATCTAACATTAACTATTAATTCTCAAATCAATAAAATATCTCCAGTAATTAAGTCAAGAACACGCCAAAGAACAAAATCCAATATATTCACGATCATCAAAACTACACAGCACACAAAAACGATTTGAGATTGTGATTGGCAAAAAGAAAAAAGATAAATTAAAAAGTAGGCAAAAAAAATATCACGAGCAAGAACGTGTTATATTTAGAATATTCGAATGGTACCTTTAACTTTGCCACGTTCTCTTCTCCCCCAAAAAAAAACAAGCAAACAAACAAAAAAAATAAAAATTAAGAAGAAGAATCTGAGTCTATAGAGGCCATGGACGAACAATAACTAAAAATTTCTAGTTGTTTTTGTTCTTCTGTTGAAACTGAAACAAATTAGGGTTTTTGTTTTTTTTTTTTTTTTCTAGTGGAAGATTTGAAGAATCTGAGAGAGAGAGAGAGAATGAGAGAATCCAGCGGATATAGGTAACGCAACAGCTCAGAAATTGCTAATGCACATTATTCTCTTAACAATTTACATGCTCGCCACCTTCTTTAATTGCTTCCTTTTTCATTTACATTTATTTTTTTTTGTTAATATTGCTTCATTCTTACTTTTATTTCTCTCTTACAAAAGCCATTTATGGTATTTAATAGAAAAATAAAATCTTGAAAATATTTTATTTGATTTTTTTCTATATTTTCTTACTTCTGTTGTGGAGAATATGGAAGTCGTTCAATTACGCTAGTGAAATGTTTTTTGTATACAAATAAACCATCTAAAGGTGTTTTAAAAAAAAACATCTAATATTGACGAAATCACGGTCCAAAAATCAGAATAAATTTTAAATATAATTAAAATGGTTATTTTTAGATATCTATGAAACTTATAATCACCTAATGTATAAGGATATACCATGCAAATATATACCGGTAAAACCTTTAATTAGGATGTTGATCATGAAATGGAATCGATGAAGAGTAAGAAATTAAGGTCCAAAAAGTCAGCCTTTTAGTTTAATCACCATGACAAATTTCGTAAATAGTGCAAAGACCAAGAATATTTGATTGTAGTTTATGATGTAGCTACATTGAGAATGAAAGAAAGAAAAAAACAAATTAATCATCTATCAATTCAAAGAGTGAAACTTGTCGAAAGATAACGTTGGTGTAATCAAAAGGTTTAGACGACGTTACAAAAGGAAACAAAGGAATTCTATGTTTCTTTGTTATAGAATTCCATTTAATGAATTGAGATACTTTATTGTCAAAATGTTTTAAGTCAAATTAATTTTCTTGAATTTTCAAAATTAGTGTTCAAAAGTATTTTTCGTCCATCCATACAGTCAAATAATAGTCTCCCCTAATTGTGTCATTCTAATTTCTACTGTCTTAATTTTGTTATCAAGTTTTACCATTCCACCAAATTCACTCTTTAACTTTTTGGATCTAAGTATTTTGTGAAATATGTAATTAAGGACCATAGTTGTAAATATAGCAAAAATAGGCTAAAGCAAAAACATATTAGAAGTTGGACCATAGAAAATCCTTTCTTCTGAAGTTAAAGGTTCTAAATGATATTTTATTTAGAATATTTGGATGATAAATCTGTATACTTGTCTAGGAAACCAAAGTTCTTCCAGTTCAAAGAGAAGTATGACTGTAAGCCCCGAAAAGAGAAAATCTGAACAAGAAAATTCAGAGCTGTCAAGACATCGACGCGGTAGCTCATCACATGGAACTTAACGCGTGCTGGCTGACGATCACCAAGGCGACGTAAGGAAGTTAAGTCAATTATAGAGAAAGATATCCCACATTTAAAAGATGGAAAGCAACTTAGTAGTATATAAAGAGTTATAGGTCAATCCATTTATTGTCAATTGGTTTTGTGACCATTGGTGCGACTGACCCATAAAGATAAATCAGAGGAAACATCGGTAACAAGCGAAAATGGACGAGTCAATTAGATCAAAAATTAGATAAACAGAACATATATATCAGTGGGTGTGATAGCCAATATTTTTACATTTTGTCCCAACGAAAGATTTTTTACCACATCAGTGTATCTCATCCTTTCACCTTACCTAGAGAAGCTCTGTAGACCTTGATCCCATAAACCAACCGTTTAATCTTGTCGTTTCCATCGGCATGATCATGATAGGATCGTTTCACCAAGATACTCGATCCATTTATGATTATTCAATATATCAGTCGACATAGACGTAAACGAGACAAACGATTTGATGAACTCCCGTTATGATTACACGATGAAATTAATAAGCATTACATCGTATGTTTGTTTACAATCTCGAGATCACTTACTCTCTTTATCTCCGGTTAAACAGCCCAAGAGAGAGAAACAAGGAAGAGGAAATAATACGAGCAAAGCCTAGATAGAAGAGGAAACACCATCTCTCTCGTTCTAGGTCTTTCTTGCGTTGTACGCTTTTGTACTTAATTATGGCCAAGGAGCCCTATCAACATTATGTATTGTGCCACACATGATGACAAGGCCTATGATGATTTCGAAGTAAGCCAAGTGTTGGCCCAGACCGTGAGTTGGCTGACGTCCGATATCTCACAATCCCTTTCATCAAACTGAAAAGTCCCCAACCACGATTCATCATATAAATCTTTCGGGATCCAAAAATGTATAACATCCGAGGATTAGCTTTCAGATGCACCAAGACTTAGCTCAACACCGTTTCTCATATTTAGAAAGTAAAGGTAATTACATAGTTTTTGTCTTTAATTGGTTTTGGCATGGAAGAAGTTATAGTTCCCGTCACCAGCTTGCAACCATTATACTTGACTTTTGGTTTTACAATAGTCTTCTTCTACTCTGCAAGCATGATCACCAATGTAAGAAGAATATTCAAGATCATCATGTGCCTCAGGATCATCATCATGAGTAGATGAGGATATATCTCCTTAATAGTGGGTGATAGGTGATTGCTTCCCCATCAACACTTGCTAGTATTATCTTAAGTGGAATCTCACAGTTAATAAGAGTTTCTTTTTTAACTCACGTCATCATGGTTCGCTCAAAGCTCATAAACCGAGCTGGATGTCTCTTAAGTCTCTAAGTCGGGATTTCATATTCTCTTCATCAATCAATACAATAAAACCAAAAGGTCTCTCAACTTTCACAAAATACCCATCTATGTTGTTGACTAGGCAGAATTAAGCTTGGAAAAATTGTTCTATTAATTCAATTGAACAAGCAAATCCTAGCTCTCTGCCTCTGAAACCGTGAATTATCTGAACTTCCTCGAATTTACGTACATCCTAGATCTTGATTTTGCGCTCTTTATTGGATGTAGCCATAAGATGGCCATTTGGATGAAACACAAAAGAAGAAAATATCCCAGGGTGACTCTGCTTCTAGACTAGAGGTGCTTGGCTAGTGGGTTTCCACATTGTACCATAATGACCCGAGGCAACAAACAACACCATTGTAAGGATTCACTTCCATTACATCTGTTTGGCATTTACATGTTCGGATACTAGCAATCATGACTCCATAGGTTACATCTTGATAATGTAGATGCCCATATTTGTTTACTCATGCAACCAGAAAATAGTTCTTTAGGATCCGAACTCTGGTCACTAGTCACTAGACCACGTTTTTGGGATAGACAGTTTAGAGTCAATAACCAAGAAGGCATACGTGTTTCTGTCCAACCGAAAAGCATAAATCTCACCTTCAAACAATGCAGCTCAGTTCCATCTCTCTCATATATGTAAGCATATCAAAATTCGACGAGACAAGATATTAGACCAAGAACCCTCCAAAAGAAAAGGCGTACAAAAGGTGATGTTGTTAGCACTAATAATATATACTTCTTCTGGCCAGCTGTGAAGAAATGTTCATTGTGCAGGAATGCAACATCGCAAACTGTTTCTCTTATATGCAGATATCATCAATTGGTGTTGAGAACCAAACCAAATTTCACAAATAACAAGCACTTATAAAGGTTATAACAAAATAGAAAATCAGACATGAATCTTTTTAATTAAGATAATCTAATATTGGTTCATTCTTAGAATCCACTTAAACAGACGAGAAAAAAAAGGGTTAGTAGAAGAAAGCACAATAACAATAATAATCACCGGTTTCATAACCTGACGGCACGTGCACCATATCCTGTTGTAATTTCTTAGCTATACTTAAAATTGAATACATCATCTGAATATTCAAACAAAGAGAATTTAGAGTATTCTGATATTGGCTCATTCTTAAAATCCACTTAAAAAGTTAATAACAATCACACATTCTTCTGTCAACACAACAAAAGAAGGAGAGAGTTAATCCAAGTGATTTGTGGCAGCAACCACGCACGTAGCTAAGAAGTTAGCAGAAGATTTCTGGCATCAATAGTGCTTGCAACCATTAGTGATGTCTGCAAAATAATGAAACAATACCCAAATTCAAAAATGATATGCATAATTCTTAAGTATTTCCCTAATGATGGATATTGTTTAAGTATTACCTATCCTAAAGCATTGATGGCTCCACGGTTGGCCCATGCAGGCAAGAGGCCGTTTATCATGCCCGTAATGGTATCAACGTAGTCAAATCTCTTTGCACTACAATGCAGAGCCTCCACAAACATAAGAAAAACAAAGGGTCAAAAAGTATAAAAATAGGGAAGAAGACTTATAGTATTTTTACGGATGCAAGGGGCTACAACATTAGGCCCTGCCATCAAGAGGGCATTGAAAGACTCCAGGTCGCCATATAGGAAAGCCCAATGAAGCGGAGTCTGCGCCTTCAGAATTGCAGCATTGATATCAGCTGCTCATGCGACGAGCAACATTAGCAAAAATGGTTAACTAATGGTAGTACAAAAGTCCAATTTAAAACAGCTAGAAGAAAGTGAACCTACCTCTCTACACATAGAAATGATTGTCGAAACTGGCACAAGCCATGTGGAGAGCTGTGCCACTGAGTTCGTTCACAACATTCACATCAGCACGTCTCTAAAGAAGAAGTTGTAGCCAAAAACAAAATAGAGAGATTCTTTTTATTTCAAAAAATTATAGAGATTCTTTGTGGGGAAAAAGTAAACTAACATAAAGGCATTCTATGCGGAGGCTAAGACATGTAAGCATGTGTGTTTCTATAAACTTACACGAGAAAACTAATCCAAAAATCCGTAATTATGAACATTATGTGCACAATGTGTAACGTGCCATCATCCGGCTAATGTAAACATATAAATTTTTGATGTAATTATAGTTTCAATTAGACTTCAATTAAAAATGTACTAAGCCGCGAGTGGCATATACATCAATTTGTTTTTAAAAATTAAGGATTAAATATACTAGTAAAGTAGTAATCCAAAACTTAAAATTGTATAAGAGTGGTCAAGATTTAAGACTCTACAAACTCTCTAATACCTTAATCGAAAATCGCTATTCAATCTAACACAAATTACTCAAACATCAATGTTCCATTTACTACAATATAAAGTATGAATCTTCAAGTACATCCAACTGGTTATTTTATTGTTTATACATGACTCATAATTCATATATCGAAGTGTCATGATCCCATCTGAAATTACCTCACAAAAAAACGATCTTACAAAATCTCTAGTCGAATACGAAATCTAACGAAAAATTTGTCAATATAAAAAGACAAAAATCCGACACTCTCTTACCAAGTAGATGATGGTTAATAATTTAATATAGTGACCATTTCGCAGCCAGATAGCTATATCATCATAAACTAATCCATCAGGTTCACTAGGTTTTTTGTTCGTGACAATTTTGAAATATAAATTTTTTAGAGCTCATTCTCTTTATTTTGGTTTATGTTAAGATACTAATATGTTTTTAACGAACTACAATTTATCTCATAATGTATAATATCGTATGTCTTGGTGTTGTACATGTTGTTTTATTCTTAATATATTTAAAATAAAATAAAAACTAAATTTGGTTTTTAAATTTGTAATATTAGTCAAGCATGGATAATACCGTAGTAGAAATAATAATTATTAGTCAAGCATAAAACATTTCAATAAAATCGTTGACACAGGATAACCAAGAAACATTCATTGAAAAGTCACTAATCAAAATATTATCATAAATTATTGGAATAAATCATTGACACATTGTTTTACTTATTTCACTGTACACACATGCAAAAACACCATAAAATAAAATAACACGCTTAAACGATAACCGCATAAAAGAATTCCTTCATTCTCCATTAAACTAACGGCGTGATCAAACCACAATTCTTCATTTCCCATTTCACCTTCTCAATCTCATCCTCCGGTAACGTCACCGTCACAACCCTCTCCTCCTCCACAACCCCCGGTAAAACCACCACAGCTCCGTCGTCACCAATCCCCTGAACATTACAATAAACCGATTCCGGTGACTTCCCCATAACTTTCGCCTCATAAAAATCAACTTCACTCATATCCACAAACGTCAAATTCGCTCCGTAAACAATAAAATCCGAAACATCATCAACAATCTCATCGATCGCAAACCTCTCATCGTTCGCTTCTCCGAGTGATTTCACAATCTCCTCCAAACTCGTCTCCGTCACCGAGAAATCGACGTGAACGGAACTTACCATCTGACCATTTCTCACCGCTCTAGGCTTCAACTCCTTCGGATCCGATCTGATAACCGTAATCGTCACCGGAGCTAATTCTCCCCTCGCCGTTGCTATACATTTCCATATGACTCCAGTGAGAATCTCGAATTCGCCTCCGTTCGTCGGAAAATGTGATTTGAGATCGTTAACCGTTAAATTGAAGGAGAATGTTGTCATTTTGCTGTTATTCGGAGCGACCCATAGATCTCCAACCGGGTCAACCCGTTTGATTGAAATGGGTTTTTTGACCGTTGAGTTCGGGTTTTGAAAGACTCTTTCTAATTCAGAGGTTTTGGGGGAGTAGATCTTCTCACCAGCAAAGGCTTGAGCCCATAAGTTGAAGAAATGAGAAAGAGAGAATGGATCTCCCATGACATGAGCCCAGCTTAAGCCCAAAGCTAATCCACCGCAGCTAAACCGGGTCATCTACACCAACAAAACCGAATTAAACCGATTTTCTATGTGTGGACTTTTTAATTTATTCCTTTTTGGCATTTTCATGTAGTTTTACGTAAATTAGTAGAGATATATATATACGTACCTGAATATAGAGCAAAGGAGAGAATGCCAATTCTGGTCCAACTGGTTGATGGTAAACCAGAGCCTCATCAACGGACCGGTCCGGTACATGGAGCCACTCCTCCACAGTGAGATCACAATGACTTTCCACGAAACGTGTGCCACAGTCGTTACACTTTATGTACGGACGTCCCGAGTCGTGTCGCCTGAACCTGCCAATGATGTATGGGATCTGGTCGAACACTGAAAACAAAGGCGCCTTCACGTGCATCACGGTCAAGTCACGTGCTGTCTCGGCCGAGTAAATGTAAACCGCCTTTAGGTAGTGAAGCTTCATGGCAAGGTCTAAACCGGTGGGTTCGTGGGTCGTACCGGTCTCTGACGGCTGGGATGCACTCACGGTTGATAAGCGGAAGCCATGAACCGGACCGCTTCCCTCTTCTTGAACTCGACCCATGGTTATGAGACAAAAGGTGGAAGAGAAATATTGGCAAAGATGATTTTGAGTGATCTTTCGGTCTAGTCTACGTAGTGATATATATAGAAATAATTTGGTATTTTTAAAAGTTTTTTTTTCAAATTTGTTTTTGTTCGGCTACGTGTCTCTCTCTCTTTCGCCCTTGTTATATAGATTGTGACTATAATCTACTCAAGTTTGCATAATATTATAATAGAGACAATAGGTGTTTGCGTCACCAGTAGGTGAACGTGACCCATTCTTAATTGTTTTTTCCTAGAAATGGCTACATAACCAACGGCATTGTTGTATATGTCATGTGAATAATATATACAAACGGTTTTTACTTATGACTTATGAGTTATGAACGTACTAGTATTATGACCCGCGCTCTGCGCGGTCTTCTATATAAACCAAATATCAAACAAATTATTACTGACCAAGAAGTTTGTCAATAGATTTTTGATGACATGCTACTTTGCAGCGTCATGTATATATCTAGTTAACATCTTTGAAAATTGTACTTGAACTTAAAAGAACAAACAAAGTGTTTAGATTATTATATGCAAATGCAAAACAATTAGGTAGATATGTAAACTTTAGAGTTGTGTTGATAATGATATATAATAATTCAGATTATGGGGTCAAAATTAACTAACATTCACACTAAAGTGATTGACTCTTTAGCAAAGATTTGTTTGTATCTGATATGGTATAATATGAAAATGAAAAAAGTGACTTAAGAACTTTATATTTTTTCTTTGGCTACTAAACACTGGTTTGTTCAGACAACTCTTCCATATCTTTCATATCAAAAAAAAAAAACTCTTCAAAATCTTTAAGTAAGAATGAAGTGAGAGAAGAGGGACCTATGGCTAGGAGCATCACTTTTACTGAATGGTTTGAGGTTGCTTGTTGTGTTCCTAAGAAATATAAATAATAAGAATGTAAGAATCAATCTAGACACAACTAAAATTGAGAATCAAATTTAATAAGTTAAATGTTATAATCATTGAACAATAAAATCATCTAACTGATTTAATAAGATATGCACATACCAATTCTTTTGCAGTTTTTGAAACATGTTGCTCCTCTGCCCCTGCCCCAATATAAACATAAATCCAAAGACTTTTTGGAGTACTAACTAATATGCTCATCTCTTTGAATTGGTATTCAATCTAAATTTGAGTCATTTCCTCAGCCAATGATGTAGTATCTGTATCTCGAAGACTCGAACGGACCTGCATAAGAATTCAACATCGGCTGAAACCTATTAAAAACATTTTTGGAAGATTGAAGAATTATAGGTGAGCATCTGTGAATATAACAGTAAGAAGCAAATTTAAAGCAAAATTAAACTCCTCACTTCTTTAACCTAAAACAAAATTGGTTCCATTTATGCATGCAAAACTCTAGTTCCCGTGTTGCGACATTGGTGAAGTTGTCCCCGAAGCCTTATTTGTCGTCGTCAAGAATAACATCAAAGATAACGTCATTTCCTAATGATCAGGCTTGTGATAAATTTTTTAATTAATGGAAATAATTATAAGAAGAGTTGACGATGCTTGAAAGAGGCAGTTTGAGATTCAACAATTATATATTGTTTGGAGATCGTGGATTATGGGGAAGAAAAACCGTTTAAGAGAGAAAATCGTAACAAATTTTTTTCTATTTTACCACGATTTTCCTTTTGTTTAAATCATTTTTAAAAATCATTTGTTCTCACGTTGGTTGGATTTAAGTTTTGTTTTTAAATTTTAATTATTTATCAATTTTTTGTTTTTTTTTTGCCATGATCTCTCTTTTGTTTACAATTAATTTTTTTTTTAAATTGTTCTTTGCTGACATGTCAAAATTTTATTGGTGCAGTGACTTGTGCTTTATAATATAAAGGATATCATGTGATCTGTACCAACTTAGGAAGGAAATTGAACCAATGACTTAAATATGAGCTATTATTTTTGGTAATCAACTGATTTTTCTTGTACTTTATAGTTAACCAATGATTGAAAGTACGTACTAGGTTTAATTAGGGATTAGATATGCACGTTGGAAACAAAATTGTGGACATATTTACCTTCAAAAGCTTTATTTTTCAGTTAACATATATATATGGATGTGTTCTAGTCCTGCTAACCGTGCCATTGTTTATTTTGATGTCGAAAAATTATTTATGAAATTGATGTTTTTGTTTGCGGAAATCGACAAATTATCATGCGACATGGCGAAGCTTAGATAGATAGGTATGGTTCACTCCTTATCTTGATAAGTTCCGGATTGGAAACACTCGTCTTTTTCGTTGAGTGACTTTCCCAAACGTAGAACATTCGCAAGGTTGGCTCTATCCACCCCAACTTCACGCCAAACGACACTCATGAGTCATCTTGAAATGAATCATGATTAAAAAGAAAGTGGTATTAAACAAGGCAATGTCAATTAGAATTAAGGATAGGTCTCACCTCCAATTGTATACGTTATATGTCTCTTAAGTCATTATCTTTGTCAAGCTAGAACTTGTGGTTGCAGCTTTCGAACCTTGTACCTTTGTATTGTGGGTCGTCTGGGCCTATGTATATTTATGTTGATTTCACTACAAAAAAAAGTCTTCATTAATAGCACATGACGATAGCACGGTTTGCTGAACTGCTATTAAAAATAGATTTACGATTTTGGTAACTTTACGATAGCATTTTAATAACGCTAAACCGAAATTTTCACTAACCGGAAATTGTTGATTAGTACTTTTGCTCTAATTAAATACGTTTTAAAAATTGTTGCGATTGCAAATGTAAATGACATGATGGTGAGAGAGTATATAATATACTATCATTTTTATACAACAAAAACATACTTTAAAAAAACACGTTAAAAATAATAATCCTATCACATACTTTAAACCATCCGAATTACATATCCTGGATCATATACTAGTGTTCTTCAGTATCAATATCACCATTGGTCTTATTCAAATAAATAAAGCAACCGTAAGCCAGATCCAAGTGTACGAACAAGCCACTCTATGACTTCAACAATTATATTATTACAATTCTACCTAGTTAAGATCCATTATATATATATATAAAATCCTATATGGTTTAGTTTGTAAGTATTAGGACATAATGTCCCACATCGGAAGTTGGAAGGGATCCTAAGTAATATATAAGGGATATGGGCCACTCCACTCATTGCCAATTGGTTTTGAGTTGGAAGTCCATAGAACTTAACATGGTATCAGAGCCCGATCCACACATGTCCAACCCGATCCGACCCAAAGATGGTCCAATCATCGACAAGGCCCAAAATTGATGCCGTCGATCTAAGCCCGAACATTCCGAGATTAATGGCCAAAGAGCCATCATCTCGAGGGGGCGTATTAGGACATAATGTCCCACATCGGAAGTTGGAAGGGATCCTAAGTAATATATAAGGGATATGGGCCACTCCACTCATTGCCAATTGGTTTTGAGTTGGAAGTCCATAGAACTTAACAGTAAGTTCATCTACCAAGAGCCAAGAGGTTAACAAACTGGAAAAGTAAATGTGATTTAATTCGTTCTAATATATAGTCGATATGTGATCATTGTTGTGAATATTAATGGTCATGAAATATTAGTATAAGATTGTGATTTGTGTGACTTATGTACTTCTTTACATTAGTTTGGTCCCAACTCCAATATCTTTTGACAACTCAACTGCAGTGAATGACCCAACCAATTTTCACGTACGTTAGGTTTGTATGTTGGGAACCACATAAACTTTTTGTTGAACATCTATAAAACAATGTCTGGTAATCTAAGTTTTATCTTGATCCCGTGTCGGTAGCAAAGCCGGCCTGAGAATTTAGTGGCTTCACGCAAAGAAACATAATTGACCCACTAAATATTGATTTATCCAAATTTTCTTCAAAAAAATAATAAGAAAAAAAAATCAGGATCGAATCATCCAAAACTACTGAAATTGATATTATCAGCAGAACTACTGGATTTTTCTCTCTAAAATTATTATATACATCAAAAACCCTAAACTCAATGTTTGGCCCACTTATGTATGCTTACGGGACGACTTGAGAAGCTCTTAAGAGGGGACATAACCAAATCTTCGGTTCAAGTCTTATATATATAACCTAAGAAAATTATGGACCGATGTCCATAACTCTTATATATATAGATTGCACATCTAAGTGAATAAAATTCTATATGTACTTTGGTTCACAAACTAAATATAAGAATAAGATTATACATCTATGGATGGTCCCATACTCCCATTGGTGTACTAATACATAGTAAAACATGTTCAAGTTGAGAAAAGTAAAAATTAGAGCAAAAAAAAGGAAAAAGTTTACGTAAAACGGGCGTGAAGAACTGAAAACTATTGAATTGAACATATTGGAATATCAATAATATTATGGAGACATATCTCGTATGAGAATCGTGTAAAATGGGTATATGACGTTTCTTCTTTTCATTTTCACCTAACGTGTATTTCCTTCCTGCAGAAAAAAACTTTCTTGAATATTCTACAAATGCTTCTCATTGAAAAAAAAACTAAAATTAAAAATTGAAAATATTTTCAGAGATTAACTTGCTAAAAGCCTACAACATGTACAAATGCATTTAGTAGGTAAAACTTGAACAGAGAAGGAATTTATGTGAATGACTGATTATATGATGCCTAATTGCCTAAAATTGATAAAGAAGCTTATAAGTTGAGGAATTAAGAAGTTGATCTCAAGTAATCCTTTTTTCACTCCACTCTTTTTAATATAAACTACTACTATTACTTACCTAACAAACACATAATGTAGAAATCGTTGAGATCATCTAAGTAATTAGGCATCATATTAATTTGAACCCACAAAAAATAAAATTGTATATAATATATATCACTTCTTATTGTTTCCAACCTTGTAATGGGCTTTTGGGACCTTATAATGGGCTTTTAGTCCATCTTACTTTATGAAGCAGCTGCTCAAGCGGACGTGGCAACAAAAGTTAGAGAGAAGTCCGGGAACTTAATTCTCTACATCAGCTACATTCTATATTCCATACACTACCGCTTTTTCACTGTGTTGACTCTCAAATTTCTCAATTCTATTGGACAAATACTGTAGTATACACTCATAGAATACACCTTACCACAGGTGATTAATTTGAGCAAAACTAGATCTTTAAAAGAAAAAATGAGAGTTTCTGAGCTCTGTATATAAATCTCTTAAACCCTACTCTTTGTCTTCATTCTCTCACTGCCTCTTTTCTCACTCACTGTCACTTCCCAAGAACCCTAATTTCGCCATTCCCTTCTCTGAGGTTAGCTTCATCTCTTTAATGTCTTTCATAGCTTTAGAAATGGCTTTGGTTTCGATGATCTTTTGCAAAGAAGTGATTTTTATAGCTTGTTGATTAGATATGGAGAATGGAATTGATTAGTTTGTGGCTTTGTTGATTTTAGTTTTCTGGGTTTTATATTCTTTGTGTGCAGACATTTTAGAAATGGCTTTCATTTTAGGGTTTGTGATTCTTTGTGGTTTAATTGAAAAGGAATGATTTTTATAGCTTTGTTGATTTAGTTTTACATATATAGAGAAATGGAATTGATTTTGTTATGGCTTTGTTGATTTAGTTATCTGGGTTTTGTATTTTGTGTGCAGATATCTAGAAATGGCGTTCTGCAACAAACTTAGCGGTATTTTGAGACAAGGGGTTTCTCAGAGCTCAAATGTTCCAGTGACATCTATGCTTGGCTCTCTTCGTTACATGTCCACTAAGCTTTTTGTTGGTGGTAAGTTCATATATATTCTCTTGCTTGTAACCTTTTTTTAGCTTGTACATATCTTCTTAATATTTCATTCTGTTCGCGCGATGTGGTTGTTTGAATGTGTATTGCTCTCAGGTCTCTCTTGGGGAACTGATGACAGCTCCTTAAAGCAAGCTTTCTCTAACTTTGGTGAAGTCACAGAAGGTAAGCCATGTGTTTTCATTTGGAATGATTCTTAGTGGCTATGTCACTATATGTTTATAAAAAACAATCAAGAACGTTTTTGATATGGCTTTGTAGTTCCTAGGGATCTATTTATGTTGTTGATTATGGTTATATATAAAATCCTCATACCAATGTTGTGTCTTTGGTTTGTGCAGCAACGGTGATTGCAGACAGAGAGACAGGGAGGTCAAGGGGTTTTGGATTTGTCAGCTTCGACAGTGAAGATTCTGCTAACACTGCCATAACAGAAATGGATGGAAAGGTTAGAAAGATTATACTGACGCATAGTGTTGATTGTCCTGTCTAAATTTCCTACCACTTATTAGGTTTATGGGGTTTGGGTATGATCATGAGCTGAAACCTTAGTGTCGATTATGTCTAAAAGTCTTGTAACTTATTAGTTTTTTTTGGGTTTGTGTATGATCATGGACCTTAGTGTAGATTGTCGTGTTTAAAAGTCTTCGTCTCTAATTAGTTTCTTGGGGGTTTTGGGTATGATCAGGAGCTGAATCCATAGCATTGATGGTTCTGTCTAAATGTCTCTAGTCTCTTACTAGTTTTTTTGGGTTTGGGTATATGATCAGGAGCTGAACGGTAGGAACATCCGCGTAAACCTTGCAAATGAAAGACCAAGTGCCCCGAGATCATCGTTTGGTGGCGGAGGTGGTTACGGTGGCGGAGGTGGTGGTGGTGGCTACTAAAACAAACAAGCCAGAGGATTTGAGAGAGAGGAGCCTCTGTACTTTCAGTAGTTAGTTGGTTAGTTTGTTGCCTCTTTTGTTAACTGCAAACAACCTTAACTGGTTTTGTTAAACTTATTTAGCCCTGTTTTAGTTGTGTCTTTCAATGAATACCGTAGTATCGTTGCTCCATTTTCTGCAATCTATTTTGCATCGAGTTCATTCGATGTTTACACTTCGTTTATTTACACTACCATTTGTGGTCTTCGGCTTTATTTGTTGTGGAGGTAGAAATTATTGTATCTTATCATATTAGTCTTTTTCTATGTCCGTGAAACTGAAATCCAAGTATGAATTTGAAGTCATTGTAGTGAGTCTAGTGACGGTCCATTAGACTACGTATTCTAGTTTACCATTGCATCATCTTCGAAAGAGAATATCTAGAAAAACAACTGCACAAGCTTATATTATCAAATTTTCATACCTAAAATAAAAAAAAAAGCTAAAACCGGTAGACAAAAAAAACACACAAAAGAAAGAGAATAAAGATAGGATGACAAAAACAAAAGGGTCCAATGCCAATGGTCCTCTTTCTTTCTCTTTATGGTTTATTTCGATTCTGATTAGTACATTTTTCTGAGTCATTTCATCAAAACATAATCCAGTTAAAACATTACTTTCATTTTTGTTCAGTTCGGTCTTGGCATAAAATAGCAAAGAGAAAAACATTAAAAAGTAAAAGGAAGAGAGAAAAAGGCAAAAAGATAAGATAAAAAGGAGAATAAAATTTATGTTACAGTTGGTATAATAATGGATCACAGGTTTCATTCCTTGATTATAAAAATCCAACGGCTAAGATCTGCTCTAAACACTTTCCAGCAAGATCATAACCTATTTCATTTATTACATAACAATCCCACATATATTTTCAATTCTACCCCTTTCATTTTTTTTTCCTCTCTTCATTTCTATATATCTTTCTATTATAACATACAGCTGTAACAATTTAATTCCCACACTTTTAATCCCCCTAAAAAAAGGACCACCACAAAAACATTTATGATTTTTTTTTTTTTTGGGGGAGCAATTTTTAAATACGGAAAAATACAGAAATCTGTCCCTGTAAATGATTTTAGTTTTTTTTTGTAAGAAAAATAAACAAGCATGTGATGATGAGAGAGATGGTATAGAAAATTATTAAGCGGAATCTTCGGCGTGAGAGTTTTCCTTTCTTACCCTCGGCTGAATCCCATAATAACCAACGTACCACTTGACGAACTTCCTCAGCCCCGCCGCGAGATCCGTCGTCGGTTTGTATCCGAAATCTTTATACGCTAAACTCACATTAGCATGCGTGTAAGGCACGTCACCGTTTCTTGGCATTTTGATAAGATGTTTCTTTGCTTTTGTCCCTAACAATCCTTCCAAGATCGAAACCAATCTCCCAACCGGAACCGGAGACGTGTTTCCAAGATTGTAAACACGTAGCTGAGCTTGTCCTCGCTTCTTTCCGCCGCTTCCGGTGCTTTTCTCCGCCGTGTCTAACGCACCGACACAACCTTTAACGATGTCATCGATGTATGTGAAGTCACGCGCCACTTCTTGATTGTCTTGAGTTCTGTAAATGTCGATTGATTTACCGTGGAGGATGTCTTTTGTGAAGAAGAAGTAAGCCATGTCTGGTCTTCCCCAAGGACCGTAAACCGTGAAAAACCGGAGTCCGGTTAAGGAGAGACCGTAGATGTGGTTGTAAGTATGTGCGATCTCTTCACCAGCTTTCTTGGTTGCTGCGTAAAGACTCGCTGGTTGGTCTGTTCTGTGTTCTTCAGAGAATGGATTCTCAGTGTTGAGACCGTAAACAGAGCTAGAGGAAGCCCAAACGATCGCAGGCTGAGGATTAGCTGCTTTAGCCACTTCAAGAAGGTTAACGAATCCGGCGATGTTGGATGCGATGTAAGATTGAGGGTTTTTCATAGCGTAGCGTACTCCGGCTTGAGCAGCTAAGTGAAGGATGTGAGTGAAAGGAACAACATCGAAGAGTTTACGTAAGAGTGGTCCATCGTTAAGATCACCTTCGACGATGAACACTTGTTGCTTCTCTAAGAGCTCTTGTCTTGCTCTTTTGAGTGATGGGTCGTAGTAATCGTTGAAGTTGTCGAATCCTAAGACTCCATCGCCACGTTTTCGTAGAGCAAGTGAGCAGTGGGATCCGACAAAGCCGGCTGCTCCGGTGACTAGGACGGAGAGACCGTGTGGTCGTTTGGCTGTTGAGGATTGTCTAACGCGCTTTTCCCACGCGGCTCCACCGATAGAGGAGGAGGAAGAGGAAGAGGAGGAGAAGAGTCCGGTGGATAAGAAGCTACGACGGTGGAGGTGGTGTGCTGCGGCGGCGCGGCTATCGGAGAGTGGAGGGTAGTTGATAGCGAAGAGGAGGACGAGGACAAGAGCTACAAGGAGCGTTGCTCGGAAAAGAACCTTAGAAGAAGCGTTGAGAACTTTGGTGCTGTGAATCTTGCGGAGGTAGCTATTGTACCTCTCCAACTTCACCGTCTTGCTTGTATCCGCCGTCGCCGACAGGGGCATTTTCGTCTATTTGATATAACAACTCACTGGTTTTATATATGTGGATCTTTCTCCACTATTCTTGATCTAAAGGGTCTCTCTCGAAAATGTTAAGTTTGAGAAATGAAATTTTGTTTTAGAATTTTGAGAGGGTTTGAGAGAGATTTCGAGCCCTGAAAACCAAGTGAAGGAACGATCTGATGATTATAAAGAAGAAGAGAGAAATTTTGCTGGTCGGAAACAACTTTTTTCCTAATAAAGATATTATATAAATAAACGAGTTATTTTTTTTTCTAAACTATAATAATGAAAGAAAAGTACTGTTGTAATAATGATAGTGATGTCGGTATTTTTTACATGAAGGTGTGATTTTACCCGAAATATAAGAAGGATCCCCAAATTAGGCCTATGCCACATTGGAAGAGTTAGATTGTTCTCCATTGGAGACTTCTTACAGAGTTTACTTTTGCTATCTTTAAAAAAGTCTTTGAGTTATTTACTTATTTTATAGGGTCAAGATCTATTTATTAACTATGATGTGTTTTTTTCATTACTACTAGATATCACGTTGGGCAAAAAAGATCTAAGTTTGTCGTATTCTTTATCTTTATAGAGATAATGGTGTGTATGATCTTAAAAAAAGTTAACAACTTGTATCCACTCAAACTCTCTTTTATTGTGTTTTTTTTTGTTCTTTTTCATAACTTTAAATGTATAGCTAAATAGTTAAAGTACAATAAAAGTAGTTAAAGATAGTAAAATTTACTAAATAAAAGTATTTAAAGATAGTAAAATTTACTAGATATCTGAAATAATTTATGTTAAAAATAATAAAAATGCTAAAAATATGATGTTGAATTTATAGTAACATGTAATGAATTAAAAGTATTGTTAGTGTTCTTTAACAAAAGGGCATGGAAACTTATCTATGTTTAATGGAAAGTTTGGACGGATCAAAGGATAAGATTTTTTGAGAATTTGTGCTCCGAAGGATATCCTTTATTTTGCAAATTAGGAAGTTTCGGACCGAAATCTAAGTTATCTAACAATTTTATAATTAATACATAAGTTATCTTTAAGTTATTAAATATAGTAAAATCTAGATTTATGTCATTTCAATTTAACTAGTGATATAAGATGATATTTATACATCGAAATATTTTCTTAATCTATGTAAAAATGTTTAAACTAGGACAACTAAAGCATAAGAAATATTTAAGAACTGTAAAAAATGATTTGAGATTATAAATCAAGAACTAAATAACTGTTTTTTTTTTTTTTTTGGTTCCACAACTAACTGGTTTTATTAATAAAATATGAGTGATTGTTCTGTGACTTAACAGTAAAGTGTGCATACTTTATTATTCATTTTGGGATTCAGAATCATATAACTAAAGTATGGACCTTCGTTGTCAAAGTATATAATCAAATTGATTCAAATAACAAAGGAATTTTTACACATTGGTTAAGCAAGAGGACAACGCCACTTCTGTTTGTCTCGTTGACAGGAGAGCCACATGTGAGTCTCTCCACTTGTTCGTATGTGTGAACATTTGGACTAATTTTATTTGCTGACTTTTTTTTCCTCACAACATTTTTATATACTTATAAATGTATTGTGAAATTGTGGGGATTTAAAAATCAATTAAAGAACAGTACAGGTAGAAAATAAATGAAGCCTTTTTAGGACATAAAAACAAGAAATAGAGTAAAATATTCGACTTGTTGATGGTCTACGCGTTTTCTAAAGGTGCTTATATTCTACGCAAAATCAATTAAAAAAAATAGACTTAAGCCTTACCTTCATTATTAGAGATCTGATCAGAGATCACCATGGCTCATTGCACTAACATTAATGATCGATTGATTCAAACTTGTATAATTATTTTTACAGTTTTATTATCGACTGACTTGTCATATAACCATAAAATCATTTTTACAGATAGTGTATATATGAGTTCGAAATATCAATTCTAAGTTATTATAGTATTATCAATTATTATTTTGAAGTTTCCAGACATTTTATGATGTGTTTTTTTTTTATCAATGGACTATTTTTTTTTAAAATGAAAAAAGAACAATTTATCCGTGGTTTGGGGTATATTTAGGGTAACTAAAGCATTGTTTTAGTTATAAGAAAATCTAAAGCATTGTTTTAAGCTTGATACAGCAATATTCATTCCAGCTAAGGCTATGCAGTGCTGACTTGAATTAGAATATGTTCGATATTTGGGGAAAATAAACATGGAAGGTCAAGGAACGTTCGAGAAATAGAAAAAAAAAATGCGAATAAGTTAAACATCATAATCTAAAAGTAAAAAGACAAATTAAGTTCCATTACCATACCGCTTTAATTCTAAACTTACTACAAAAACATTAGAGCCAAAACTAACCTTTTCTTTTACCCAATATTCTACTGCAAGATTAAAATTGTACATGTGTTTATACAGATAAATCTGTACTTAATTTTGACGTATTGAAAAACTGATAAGTATCCCCGGTTTATCAAATTAATTCCGATTCAAACTTTTTGCATGTGATATTATTAGAAAATAACATGAAAAGGAAAGAGCGTAAGGACAAGTCACAAGTTGGAGAAAACGTTAGGTCAAGTTTCAAATCA